AGACTTAGAACAAATTATTTTAAGATTTGTGTGGAATCAGAAAAGACCCCAAACAGCCAGGGGAATTTTAAAAAAAGAAAACCATATCTGGGGGCATCACAATGCCAGATTTCAGGTTGTACTACAAAGCTGTGTTCATCAAGACAGTGTGGTACTGGCACAAAAACAGACTTATAGATCAATGGAACAGAACAGAGAACCAAGAAGTGGACCCTGAACTTTATGCTCAACTAATATACGATAAAGGAGGAAAGACGATCCACTGGAAGAAAGACAGTCTCTTCAATAAATGGTGCTGGGAAAATTGGACATCCACATGCAGAAGAATGAAACTGGACCACTCTCTTGCACCATACACAAAGATAAACTCAAAATAGATGAAAGATCTAAATGTGAGACAAGATTCCATCAAAATCCCAGAGGAGAACTCAGGCAACACCCTTTTTGAACTTGGCCACAGTAACCGGAGAAGGACAAACAGTGTATGTTCTCATTCATTTGGGGAATATGAATAATAGTGAAAGGGAATATAAGGGAAGGGAGAAGAAATGTGTGAGAAATATCAGAAAGGGAGACAGAACATAAAGACTTCTAACTCTGGGAAATGAACTAGGGGTGGTGGAGGGGGAGGAGGGCGGGGGGTGGGGGTGAATGGGTGACGGGCACTGAGGGGTACACTTGACAGGATGAGCACTGGGTGTTATTCTGTATGTTGGTAAATTGAACACCAATAAAAATTAATTTATAAAAATAAAAAAAATAAAAAAAAATAAAAATGTATTTTGGTATCTTTTTAGCCTAAAAAACTTTCAGTGAACATACTATACTTCAATTACTTTCATATATATGAACAGGTAATAAGAATTAGAATTGTCTGTATTTACAGCCTCCATTTTCTTCTACTTATTTATCTCTTAAAATAATCTACTTTTTCTCCTCACTGTTCAAGTGAAATAACATTCTTGAAGTGGCTTTTTCTTTATGATTTAAAATTTGTAATATGTAGTATTACCAAAAAACTAATTTAAAAGAAATGTGTCACCTACGCCCTTTATTTGTCCTCATTCCAAACACACAGAAATTCTAGATATTTTACTACATTATTGAACCCTATGGAAAGAAATGAAAATCTTTGAGTTCCATAAAGAGAAATCCATAGCAGTATGGAACCTCTGTAGCTCATAGTGATCGTTGGGTAGGATTAAAACAACAAAACACAGCATCTCAGACCACATAATTTCTGAGGATGATTCCAATTATTCATACAGCTTTCATTACACAGAAACTGAAGAAAAAAAAAAGCCAAGAAATTAACATAAATGGGCCCAGCCACAGAAATGTCTCTACAACCTACGAGAGGCACAGGACTCTGAAATCTATAATTCATGCTAAGGATGAGCTTACAAATCAAAATTACAAAGGAGTTGAGGAAATCTCACGTTATGAGACAACATATATTATATACAAGAGAAATAACAATGAAGAATTTCAGATAACACATAAATGGTCTTTAGATGAAGATGTTTAAAGGGATTTTTAAAATATAAGTGAACTCCATAAGGTAACAGTAAAACATTATGGGAGAAAAGGGACAGGTGGATTTGAAGAAAAAAAAGAAATTTTAGACATTAAAAAACAGTCATTGAAATGACACTTCTCAGCGCATAGGATAAATAAATGCTTAAGACCATGAATTGGTCTTAAACTAGACCATACGGGATAAAGACTGAGAGGCCAGATGAGTAGGAGATTTCCAGTGGAAAATGATGTTAAGACAGCAGAGGACAATGTTTTAAGTAAGTGGCAGAAGGATCAGGTATGACTGAAGAGTGTCATTTGAATTTGGTCATTAGGTCAGTGGTTACCTTTGGAAGAGCAGTTTCCTTGAAGTGATGGTGAGGGAGACAAAAATTCTGTCATGTTGAGGCATGGATGGGAGGTGAGGAATTGGAGATACGTATAGACACACCCTTTAGGAACATCTTTAGGAACTTGGACTAAAATAAGAAGGCAAGAGCTATACAGGTGATAGTTGCAGGGAGGATTTTTCTTTTGGGGGATTAATAAGATCTAGCACATTTATGTGCTTTGGTGGAGGGAGGCTAGATTGGGAGAAACCAACGGAGACTTTAACTTGATAGAACTAATTTCCTGAAGAGAAAGGAGGAGGAGATGGGAACTAAAACACAACTAAAGGAGGATTTGCTTTTGTTGTCATCCAAGGCCAGCAGAGTACCATAATAATGCTTACTTCATGCCAGGTTTTGTTCCAAGCATTTTAGATGTATTAACAGAATTGGATGGAGATAAGAAACTTGAGAATGAAGAGTTGAAGAAACGTTCATCTAAAAATCAAAATGATCTTTATGAAGATAAAATTATATACTAATAATTTGCCAAAAGAGAAGGTAGAAGAGATGGTGAAGGGAGCTTAAAAAGTGCCGAAGAATAGGAGAGGAAGTTGACCAGAAACATATAAAAGTATTTCTGATTAGTAATTCAAATGACTGTGTCATTTTCTCCAGCAGTGCTCAGATACCCTAGGTTCAGAGCTCAGAGACAGACTGTATTGACCATGGTTGAAAGTCTGTAAGCAGACTAGGAAGGAAGGACAAGAGTTCAGCAAGTTGACGGCACTGGCAGAGGATGAGTGACACTCACTGGGGTTAGGTTGGATATGAAAGGAAAGGAAGCCAGGAGAGGGATAATAGAGGATAGGAAAAAAGAAAGTAAAAAAAAAAAATAGAAAGATTGCAAACATCAAAATTCCATTGACTCTCTATCCCACTCCTTTCTGAGGCAGCAGTTGCCACAACTCATGAAGGCCACCAGAAGAATAAGCTCTGTCATCTTCAAGCGCAAGGTTTTCTCGGTGTAGCAGTACAGTCAGTCCACTGACCAGCGTCACTGGCGTCACCCAGGAGCTTGTTAGAAATGCAGAATCTGAAGCCCTACCCCGGAAATACTGACCCAGAATCTGCTTAACAGAATCTGCAAGAGATTCATGTCACATGAAAATTTATGCAGCACTGGGACAGAAAGAGTTGATTCACCTTTGGTTTATGTGTGGTCAGGATATGCTGGAAGCAGCAAGGGGCAGATATTGTCTGTGATGCACTTGAGCTCCCAGGCTCAATGAGTTTATTACCTTTTAATGTATAATTGAAATCCTTTTCTGAATGGGGTGCCACCCTGTACACCAGCTGGTCCCTAATTTCACCCCACACCCCAGATGGTCTCCTAGCTGAGTGCCACAGGATTGCACAAGAAACCACAAACTTCCTTTTAGTTCTAAAATTCCTTTTTTAAACTATTTTTTAAAAGATTTTATTTATTTATTCATGAGAGACACAGAGAGGGAGGCAGAGACACAGGCAGAGGGAGAAGCAGGCTCCATGCAGAGAGCCCGATGTGGGACTCGATCCTGAGACCCCCGGGTCACGCCCTGGGCCGAAGGCAGGTGCTCGCCCACTGGGCCACCCAGGCATCCCCAGTTCTAAAATTCTTTCATTTTATGTATCATAACCAAACTTCCCCTGCACATAAAAAATACGTGAAAGTAAAACTGAAATGAAGGGAAATAAAATTTAGTCAGTGCCAAAAGTAATTCTAAGGAAAATTTTGCAATTAGCTAGACACAGACACACACCCCATCCGCTCCTGGGTTAGCTTTCAAGAGTGATACCGTTTTTCTTTACCTACGATTTGAGCGTTTTGAAGTCGCTATTCGCGACTATGAATGATTTTTGAACTGCTTTTTTTCTCCCCGCCTTTGTGCAAAACCAAATTCTTCTAAACGAAGTGAGTGGAAGGCGGAGCGAAATTGCTTCCTCACATTTACGTGGAACCAGCCTCCGAAGACGTGGTCTGCATAGAACAGGCAGCGAGAGACTGGTCACCAGCGTCAGCGTTCGTGGGAATTTTAATATCGTTTTTTAAAGACTTAGCAATGGTTTGCTTGTTTTGGTGTGATTCAGCCTTTCATGTTACACCAAGCACTGAATGCTGCACCTGCTGGTGATTTTTTCCTGTGCTGCTGGGGTATTTATTTATTTATTTATTTATTTGAGACAGAGAGAGAGAGAGAGAGAGAGAGAGAGAGAGAGAGAGAGGCAGAGACACAGGCAGAGGGAGAAGCAGGCTCCATGCAGGGAGCCCGACGTGGGACTCGATCCGGGTCTCCAGGGTCACGCCCTGGGCTGAAGGGGGCGCTAAACCGCCGCGCCACCGGGGCTGCCCTGTGCTGCTGCCTTTAAGCGCTGTTACCCACTGGACCAAGGCCTGCGGTCAAAGAGGAGGAAAAACCCATTTGCTCGCCCTCCTCGGTTCACTGGTGCAGAGAGCTAGGGTGCGCTCGACTACCGCCCGGGGAACCCAAACTGTAGAGGCCCGAGGCGATTCAGAAATGAAGGGTCTTTAAGCTGCGCAGGGAGCGACGTCTGCGAAGTGACAGCTGATGGCCCCAGCACCCCTACCCCCGGGGCAGCTCCCCACCAGCAGCCGCCTCTCCCCGCCAACCCCCCTCCCCGGGGCAGCTCCCTAGCAGCAGCCGCCTCTCCCCCTCACCCCCTCCCCGGGGCAGCTCCCCACCAGCAGCTGCCCCTCCCCCTCCCCCCCTCCCCGGGGCAGCTCCCCAGCAGCAGCCGCCTCCCCGCCCCCCCCCGGCGCCCCCGCCCCCCAGGTTATCCCACCGTCAGCCCATCAGCCCACTCGCAGCCCGTCCCCGCCTCGCCCCGACGGCGTGGCGCCCTCCCCTTCTTTCCCTCCGCCCACTGCCCCCCTCCGCTCCTTCCTCCCCCTCGCTCTCCCGCGGACCCACCCCCACCCCCACCCCGCTCTCCCGCCCGCCCCCTCTGGGATTCCAGCTCCAGCTGCAAACGCCGCCTCCCCTGTCGCCGGGACGCAGGGCGGGAGGCGCGGCGGGCCGGCCGCGCGCAGGCGCAGTGCGCGGCAGGCGGGCGGGCGGTCTGCGCAGGCGCGCGCCGCTCGGGCTGCTCGGGTGCGCCGGGCTTCGCTGGGCGGGCGCGGGCGGGACCGGGGCCCCGCGGCGGCGGCGGCGGCGGCAGGATGCTCCTTCCCTCGGTCAGTGTCTGGAACCTGGCGTTTTATGCCCTTATGATGTGCCTGGCGAGCCTGGGGCTGTGGGACGTCTTCTTCGGCTTCGAGGAGAACAAGTGCAGCATGAGCTACATGTTCGAGTACCCGGAGTATCAGGTGAGCGTCGGCCGCCGCACCTGGGCCCTCCTGCGGCCGCTCCCGCTCCGGCTCCGGCGCCGCCAGCCTCCTCCCAGTTTTGTCGCCCTCGAAGGTTCAGCAGACACCCCCCTCCCCGGGTGCCCTCACCTGCCCTTTGCGTCCTCTCTTAACAGCGGGGTGTCGGGCAGGTGGGTCCCCGAGCATCCTCCCGGGTGCCCCCCTCCCGGCCCCGAATCCCAGGCACAGATTCTTTGGCCTCCCCTGCCGTCCCCCGTTTGCGTCCCTCTCTAGAGACGCCTCTAACTTCAGCCCCTCTCCCTAAACCCAAATCCCAATTCCCCCTGCGTGTCCTACCTTAACTTAGCAGGTGCCCCCGGAGCACACTCGGCTTTCCACGCGCCTGCACTCTCACCATCCCGCGCGGTGGTTTGCACGTTCAGCTCTTGCTTTTCTAGAAGAAGGAGCTGATGGCTGCATCCCGAGCCTGGCCTCTGAGACTCCCCGGTGTTGCTCCAGCGGGACGGGCTGGCCCGATGATGATGAGCCCATGCAGGGGAAGAGTATCGGGGTTCCCTCCCGTGGTCGCGGGTCGTGCGTGTGCAAGCCTGCCGGTGCTCGTGCACGTCGCCTCTTCGCACTTGCACCCCAAACCTCTGTTTCGTGGTGGTTGTTTTTGTTTTCTCACGGTGTTGGCCATTGGAGAGAGAGACCCGGCCCTTCTTGGCGCCCTCGCTCCCCACCCCCCGTCAGTTCCATTTGGAGTTATTTTCAACCACAGTTGCTTCATCAGTTCAGCAGAGTAGAACCTTGCATCTCATTCATGACCAGCTGTGGCGATAAGTGACACAACTGCCCAAAGTAATTCCTCCGGAAGGATTCTTTTATTTCTAAACCCATCTCCTCTATTTGTTTGCTTGAGGTCTTTATGGAGCAGCATGTTACTTGATTAATGCTGTTGATTATTTAGATCCTAAAGCTTACCTAAGGCTTCAATGGCTGGAAAACATCTCTTCCCACCCCCCACCCCCCTTCCTTGAGCAAAAATTCTAATTTAGGTTTCATTTGAGATCCTTGGAAGAGAGTGGAAGAACTTGGTATCAAATGCTATTGAAGGAGATTTCTAAACCCATCTCCTCTATTTATTCAGACAAATAGAGGTACACTCTCGTGCCATGAGAAGTGTATGTACTGGTACTGATAAAACACATTTTAAAGAGACTTTTTATTATTTTATTTTATTTTATTTTTTAATTTCTTTTTATTGGAGTTCAATTTGCCAACATATAGCGTAACACCCAGTGCTCATTCCATCAAGTGCCCCCCTCAGTGCCCATCACCCAGTCACCCCAACCCCCTGCCCAGTCCAGTCCCTTTCCACCACTCCTTGTTCTTTACCAGAGTTAGGAGTCTCTCATGTTTTGTCCTCCTCTCTGATATTTCCCACTCATTTTCTTAAAGAGGCTTTTTAAAACCAGAGCAGATTCTTTTTAGGTGGAAGAATGGAGATGGTGATTGCCTCAGTGTAGAGGTCATTATGGAGCAACATGTTACTTGATTAATGCTGTTGATTATTTAGATCCTAAAGCTTACCTAAGGCTTCAGTGGCTGGAAAACATGTCTTCCCCCTCCGTGGGCAAAAATTCTAATTTAGGTTTCATTTGAGATCCTTGCAGGAGAGTGGAAGAACTTGATATCAAATGCTATTGAAAGAGATTTTAACGTGTTAACTGTTGTCTCGGTTTCTGAGCACACGTGCTGGTTTGTATTTATCAGAGGCTATGCATATTTAAATATGTGGGCGTTTAGTTTAGTTTTTACCTGAAAATAGAGCCCTTATAATCTTTTAATTTTTCTGTGGTTTAATAATGGGGAAACTCTCAACAGGTTGAAGTAGGTCACTTTAGTTTTGTACTGTGTTGAAGAGTTTGATTAAAACAAAATTATCTGGAACGATACAGAACTAATTCTCATTTATTTTGAGATTGGCCACAATTATTGAAGCTATTTTAATATCTGCAGTAGTGGAAATTTAGTGTTGAGAACAAAGATCCTCACAGATCTTTGGATCCTCACAGACCCATTTCTTGCCTCGTACAGTTAACCGGAAAGATGGAAAATTAGGTAATGCAAAAGAGATATTTGGCTCCCCCCCCCCCAAGTAGTCTGTATTTAGATATTTTGTTTTGTTTTTTTTTTTTAAGATTTTATTTATTTATTCATGAGAGACACAGAGAGGCAGAGACACAGGCAGAGGGAGAAGCAGACTCCATGCAAGGAGCCCGACGTGGGACTTGATCCCGGGTCTCCAGGATCACGCCCTGGGCCGAAGACAGGCGCCAAAACCGCTGAGCCACCCAGGGATCCCGAGTATTTAGATATTTTGATTTAGATTCCCTTTTTGAGGCTTTACACTTTTGTTAATTTGTTAGTACAACTGTTAATTTGTCAGTACAGTAATAATTACAGTGGAAGGAGTTTCTGGTCGCATTTTCAGTAGATTTTTATGATATAAAAAACTGTGTTAATTCACTACATTATTTATATTTGATTCTTAGACCTTTTATTGTGCATACCATGTCGTGTTACTTAAGAAATACAGTTAAAAACCTGAATAGAAATGAGTCGTTTTGAATATTGTGAGACTTATGGATAACTGAGGTCATTCTATTAAAAGCCAGTAGTTAATGAATATATATTCTAAATACATTTTATATATATTATTTACTTTTAGTTATATTTTATAGTAAGCTTTCTAATTGTTCACAGGTTGATGTCCAGCATTTTTGATGACATAGTCATTGGGTTTTCTTCTTCTTGATGCTTTCTTCTTTTTTACTGCTAATTTGCATATTTCTTAGCCAAATTTTAGAGAGGTAGTTGAAACACACTCAATTTTATTCTCCATTTTAGAAATAAAAGGTGGGACAGGAATTTGAACCTAAATTTGTAAAATGAAGTTTTGAATTTAAAATTGGGGTAGCCTGGGTGGCTCAGCTGTTTAGTGTCTGCCTTTAGCCCAGAGCGTGATCCTGGAGATCCGGGATCGAGTCCCACATTGGGCTCCCTGCATGGAGCCTGCTTCTCCCTCTGCCTGTGCTCTGCCTGTGTGTGTGTGTGTGTGTGTGTGTGTGTCTAATGAATAAATAAATAAAATCTTTTTTTAAAATTAAAAAAATAAAATTGTTTTTCATTTTCTACCTTTAATTTTTTTTAATTTGCTTATTCAGAGTTCACTGAATATCTCACAGACCTACCAGGCAAAATACACATTATCCTTTAAAGCTTCTTGCTTTATTATGATAGCAAGGCAAAGCATTTATTTGGTAGCAAACAGTTTTAGGCAAATTGTAGAATTTGAGAAGAACCATCTGTGTTGTTTTTTCCCATACAGTAATTTGTTTGTCTTCAAATATGTGACCTAACAGCTAACAGTTGCTGTCTGAAAGAAAATCTTTATCACACTTATTATTAAGTGTGATGTTTGTTTAGCAAATAATTTATTGATTACACTGTATCAAGTATAGTCTAGATACTGGGTATGGGTGAGAGGGAATTAGAGATCAATTAGACGTGTGTCTTTATGACTTTACAATTTTCATGTCTTTATAATACCATGAGACAGGAATGTAATGGATAGTTAAAATATAATGTGCTAAACAATAATTTCACTGTAAGAGTGCCTATGAGGCTCTTCACAGAAGAGAGCATTTAAGTTCATCTTCAGTAGTCAAAGGCCATAGAGAGGTTATTATGAATTAGAGGGAATATATATACATATAGTTCTTGAAGCGCAGACACAAGAAAATTGCAGGAATAAAGAATAGCATATGTGAAGGTGGGAAGGCACCAGGACACATTGTATAAGTTTTAATTCACAGGTAAAATATGTATAGATCATAAAGCTAACACGTTAGTTTTCTTGATTCAGTATTTTTCTAGCACTTGGGAACTTGTTAGAATTTTTGTCTTTTGAAAGGGTTCTGGATTAGAGATTAGAAGGACCTGTTCTGAGGGAGTCAAGAGAGGATGGAAAGCAGGGGCAGGATTGTGGAGATTGAACATCTATTTAGGGGAGGGGTGCTCATTTAAAATAATCTACAGAAAGTAATTTAAAATTTATGGGAGTCTTGTTGCTATAAAAACTTTCTTTTAAAATCCCTTGACTCACTTTTGCTTCATCAGCATCCTTTTCATATACCTATATGTTTTCTGTCTTCCATCTGATCAAAACCCTTCCTGTTTTTTCCTGCCACTCCCAGCTTGAACTGTGGAATGTAATTTTGCCATTTCGGATAGTTTCCTATTCTTCTGAGTTAATTTTAAACTAGTTCAAAATTTGTTTAGCTATGTACTAAAAAGAATGATCTAATACTCATGTACTGTCCTTTTCTAAAGGTGTACTAAATTGAGAGGAGTTAAGAGTAATATGCTTTCTTTTTGCTTAATGTATACTTTTACAAAATATTGCATCATTTTCATTTTTGATTATATATTGGTATATTATATATTGGTATAATCAAAAATGAAAATGATGCAATATTTTGTAAAAGTATACATTCAATTGGTACAAATTTGAATTGAAGTCCATACATATGACACACACACACACACACACATTATATATAGTAAATTGCAGGATTGGTATTTCTGAATTTTGAGTATTTGATATAAAATAACTAATGTCGTAAACAATAAGCTCACCATCTTTAAAGGTGTTTTCAGGTGTTATAACATAGATTGTTTATGGTAATATTTTTTAAAGAATATTCAACAATGTGCATGAATAATCAAAATTCTGCTTTTTAGAACAGTGAGGTTTTTCAGTGTCATTACCATTTATAGGCTTTAAAATTCATTCAGTAGTTAAAATTTTTATCAAGCACATGTACAGCACTGCTAGATCATTAAACCTACTGATGTCTACCTAAATGAAATCTGTTCAATGTAACAGGCTTCATTTTTAATGATTTCTATACTTAAAAAAGGAGGAGCAGCAGAAGGGCTTATACTTTACCACCACTTTTATAGATGCCTAGTTTTGGGGGATGACATTAAGACCTAATTTGTATTTTGTTGAAAAAAATTATATGAATTATTGGCTCATTTGTTATATAATAATATGAATCGCATGCAGAGTAGTCTAAGGCTTGCTGACAAACCACATACCTGAAAACCAAAAACATGAAAACCAAAAGAGATGCTAACTCATTGGAATGTTTACAGTGAGGAGAGTGTACATATTTTGACCCAACACATGGCTATAAGGTTCAGATTAATTTGTGAAACACACTGCAGATTGAAGCATATGAAATTGAGAGGTGAAAAAGCTGCATTATAAAACAAGCTTACTTTTCCTTGAGTAATATAACAGCTAGACTATATAATTGGGTGTAAGTAAATGAGAGACATTACAAGACAGTTTAAAATAGCAAAAAAGAATCAATTTTATAATGGAAAGGTTTTATCATTTCTAAGTATAATTGATACTGATACTATGTTAAATGCATTTCCAGTTATATTAGATGTAACTTGCAGGAATGTAATGGATAGTTAAAATATAATTATATATATAATTATATTTTATATATATATAATTAGCATGTAACTTCCTGACATACCCCAATATTTTTCTTTTATTAGTGGCTATTTTGAATAATGTGTATTCATTAGAATTTCAGGTAGTTCCATTTTATGCATTCCTGAAGACTACATGGTTCAAAATTCACTCAAGACAAATTCTACATATGAATAAACTAAAAGTAAAACTTAGTGCAGTTTTATCATCAGTAACATTTTTATACTATACTTTTTTTTTTACTATACTGTTTCAATGTGTATAATTCAGAATTGGTCACAGTTGACTGAATTGTATTAATACAACTGATTAAACTGAAATTGCCTTTTTATTTATTTTTGCTGCAGAAAATAGAACTTCCAAAGAAACTGGCAAAACGCTATCCTGCATATGAATTATATCTTTATGGAGAAGGATCCTATGCTGAAGAACACAAAATTCTCCCTTTGACAGGTATTCCAGTTCTCTTTCTTCCTGGTAATGCTGGAAGTTATAAGCAAGGTAAGTCTTGGAAGTAAATTTTAAAAGCTATAAAATTCTATTGGAGAATTTATCAGGTACATACTCTGTGTTACATACTGTGCGAGGCACACTGGGAGACACAAATATGTGACATTATGTCTGAGAGAAAAAAATGTGAGTACAAAAAATAGTTGAAGACCACTTAGAGAAGAGTAAGAAGGAGAAAAAGAACAGGATAGAGTGGTAGGATAAATGATACAGGGATTCAGGAATTAGCAGAAGAAAGGTTTGTGTTGGAAATGGAAGGTACAGAAAACATACCCCAAAACAGTGATTTGAGAAGTAAATCGGTGTTTGTTTTGCTAAACAAGAGAAAAGATTGGTTTCTTTCTTTTGGAGTTATTTTAATTAGATCTGGAAATACTGATGGGAACTCAGAAAGGGAAGTTTAATGTATAGATCCCAAAATGAATGTTGGCCTAGAGAAAATAGCCATTCTTTCTGGCATAACAATTAACTAATCTGGAAGTAATTTCATTTAAAATGAGCTTTTTGGTTATTAACTGGTATATTCTTTTATATGATAAGAATAGGATTCTTTCAACATTTAGTATAATTACTTACATGTGATGCATTTATCTAGTAAATAATTGTGTTTTAGGTATTAGGGATCCAAAACAGACCAAGATAGATAATATCTCTCCCTCTCATTAAACTTATATTTTTGTTGGGAAGACAGCCATCAAATAAATAATGTTAAAAGTAACATTAAGTTAAGTAATGTTAAAAGTTAGAAAGATCATGGAATTGAGCCCTGAGCAGGGAGTCTGCTTCTCCCTCTCCTTCTGAGCCTCCTCTGCATTTGTGCTGTCTCTCTCTTGTGCGCTCTCTCTCTCTCTCAAATAAATAAATCTTTAAAAAAGAAAGTTAGAAAAATAAAACACAGGGATAGAGGATAAATAGGATCAGAAGGTGGCTAGTTTAGTTGAAGTGGCCAGGAAAGGTCAGGATGAGGATGTAACATTTGAGCAGAGGCTTGAATGTAGCTAAGAAACTGAGGTATGTGACTCTTTGGGGAAAGACCCTGAGGCAGGAACATGCTTGGTACGTTCAAGGCCATGAACCTAGAGACAGTGGCAAGAAATGAGGGAAAAGTAGCTACAAACTATATCATATAAGCTGTGGAAGAGACTGAATTTTTCATCCGAGTGTGACTGGAAATTTTTAGAGGGTTTTGGGTAGGAAATGATATAATCTAATTTTTCTGTTTTTAATCTTTGAAATATAACACATATACAGAGAAATGTGTAGAATATAGATACTCAGTTAAAAATTATTATAAAGTGAATGCCCATAGAACTGAAACCTAAGTCAAGAAGTAGAAGATTGCCAATACCGTGGAAACCCCCCTGAATGCTCCTTCCTGATAAAATTTTCTACCCTCTTTTCTAGAGGTAATCACAATCCAAACTTAAGGATAGTAGTTTCCTTGATTTTTATTGTTTTAGTATCTAAATATGCGTCTCTGTCTCTAATACAATCTACTTTTACGGGATTATTTTTAAACTTTGTAACATAGCATAAACATTTAGTATGTATTCTTTTGTGTTTGGCTTTTTCCACTCAACGTTTTAAAAATTCATCCAAGTTGTGGTATGAGCTGTGATTTGTTCATTTTCCTCACTCTGTATCATCCCATTATATGACTATACCTAGTTTGGACATTTGTGTTATTTACAAGCAATTACAAGTAACGAACATTTTTCACCTTTGGATCACATAAACCCATGCTCCTGTAAGATGTTTACTGTAATAGAATTTCGTGTCAAAGGTTATGTGTATCCTTTTAATTTTACTGTTTGTGTTAATTTATACTCCCAGAAACAGTACATTATACTTCCTTTTGCTTCACATCCTTGACAGCATTGAAACTGTTAGATTTTTAAATTGTTTACAGTGGTAAGTGTGATTTATTTTTAAAAAATGATTATTTTGGCTTTGTTGTGTAGAGAATATGCTGCAAAGAGGCAAGAGTGGAAGAAGGAAAAATACTAAACATCATTAATCACCAGGGAAGTACAAATCAAAACCACAATAATGGATATCATTTCATACCCAGTAGGGTAGCTATAATCTAAAAGATAATAGGAAGTGTCATGAGGCTGTGAAGAAATTGAAACCCTTATACATTGCTGGTGGGAATATAAAATAGTAGAATCACTTTGGAAAAATAGTTTGGTAATTTTTCACAATGTTAAACATAGAGTTTTATGCTTAGTAATTCCACTATAGGTATCTTCCTAAGAAAAATGAAAACATACAGTCACGTAAAAACTTGTCTATAGATGTTTATAGCAACACAATTCAAAATAGCTAAAATGTAGAAACAACCCAAATGTCCATCAACTAAATAACAGATAAGTAAAATATATCCCTAAAACGGAATATTCTTCAGCAATAAAATGAATGAACCATAAAATAAGAAAATTACAGGCCAATATCCTTGATGAACATAGGTGCAGAAATCTTTAGCAACATATTAGCAAACCAAATCCAACAATACATGATCAAGTGGATTTATTCCAGAGATACAAGGAGGTTCAGCATCCACATATCCATATGATACAATTAAAGTAATACAATGAAAGATAAAAATCATATGATCATCTCAATAGATGCAGCAAAACCATATCACAGAATTCAGTATTCATTTATGATAAAAACTCAACAGAGTGGATATAGAGGATGTACCTCAACACAATAAAGACCATATATGATAGTCCTATAGCTAACATCAGACTCAATGGTGAAAAGCTGAAAGCTTTTCCTCTAATTTCAGGGACAAGACAAGAATGCCAAATTTTACCACTTTTTTCAACATAGTATTGGATGTCCTAGCCACAGCAGTAAAGCAAGAACAATTTTAAAAAGCCATCTAAATTGGAAAGGAAGAAATAAAATTGTCACTATTTGCAGGTAACATATATAGAAAACCCTAAAGACTCCACAAAAAGCTGTTAGAATTAACAAATGAATTTGGTAAAATGCAGGATACAAAATCAATATACAGGGAACTGTTGTTTCTGTATACTAATAAATAATCAGGGAAATTAAGAAAACAATCCCATTTATAATTGCATTGAAAAGAGAAAAAAACCTAGGAATAAATTTAACAAAGGAGCTCTACGAGATCTCTACATTGAAAATCTATAAGACACAGATGAAACAAATAAAACAAAAATACAAATAAATGGAAAGATATTCTCTGCTTATGGATTGGAAATATTAATATTGTTAAAGTGTCCATACTGCCAGAAGCAATCTATAGATTCTGTGCAATACCTATCAAAATTCCAATGGTGTACTTCACAGAAGTAGAACAAATTATAAAATTTGTGTGGTACCACAGAAGATCCTGAATAGCCAAAGCAATCTTGAGAAAGAACAAAACTGGACATGAACAAAAAAAACATGGAAAAAAAATGGAAAAAAAAAACCAAAAATGCTCCCTGATTTCAAACTGTACCAGAGCTGAGGTAATGAAAACAGTATTATATTGGTAGAAAAACAGACCCACAGATCAGTGGAACAAATTGAGAGCCCAGAAGTAAGCTCACATATATATGGTCAATTTATCTCTGATAAAAGAAACAAGAACATGCAATGGAGAAAGAACTGTCTCTTCAATAAATGATTCTGGGAAAACTGGACAGCCACAAGCAAAAGAGTGAAAGTAGGCCACTATCTTCCACCATGCACAAAAATTAACACCAAAGGGTTTAACAAACCTTTGCATGTAACACCGGAGTCCTTAAAACTGCCAGAAGAAAACACAGGCAGTAAGCTCCTTGACATCAGTCTTAGCAACATCTTTGTGGATCTCACTCCAAAGCAAGAGAAACAAAAGCAAAGATAAATAAATGGGACTACATCAAACTAAAAAGTTTCTGCACAGCAAAGGAAATCATTAAAATGAAAAGGCAGCCTACTCAATGGGGGAAGATATTTGTAAACCATATAAACAGGGGGTTAATATCCAAATATATCCAAAATATATTAAGAACTTACATAACAACGACAAAATGGACAAAGGATCTGAATGGACATTGCTCCAAAGATGACATACAGATCACCAATAGGCACATGAAAAGTTACTCGATATCAGTAATTGTTAGGGAAATGTAAATCAAAACTACTTTTTACCTCATACCTGTCAGAATGGCTACTATCAGACAAGAAATAATAGAAATGAAACTTGACCATTTACACATGGATGGACCTTGAGGGTATTATGCTAAGTGAAATAAATCAGAAAAAGACAAATACCATATGATTTCATTGATATGTGAAATCTTAAAGGAAAAAAAAGAATAAACAAAACAAACTCCTAGATACAGAGAACAGAGTATGGTTACCAGAGGGGAAGGGTGTTAGGAGTGAGAAAATGAATGAAGGGAGCCAAAAGTGTGGTAATACATGGTAAATAGATTTGTGGTGATGATCACTTTGTAGTGTATACAGATGTCAAATTATAAAACCGCACACTGGAAGCTTCTATAATAAAAAAGGAATGAATTAACTGATAACACGAATTACATGGTACAGTGTGGGTGAATCTTGAAAACACTCTAAGAGAAAGAAGCCAGTCATAGAAAACCATATATGTGATCCCATTTATAGAAATGTCTAGAATTGGCAAATCCATAGGGATAGAAAGTAAATTAGTACTTTCCAGGAATTGGGAGAAGAGGAATGAGAAGTGACTACTGATGAGTATAGGTTTTTCTTTTGGGAGTAATTAAAGATGCCTGAAGTTAGATTAGATTAGTAGAATTTTGTGAGTATAATGAAAATCATTGAACTGTACACTTTCACATAAGTTGTATGTGAATTATATATGTTTAGAAAAATGGAATGGCAAACAGGTATTTTGTTTGCTAAGCCATACATTGCAACTTTTAATGCCATTAATGCAATCAATTCACAAAATCTGTGAAATGGTTTACAGAGCAAAACCAAAAACAGTGTGGAAGCAGGTAGACCAGTGAGGAAACTATTGGAGTAGTTAAGGCAAGAGATGATGGTGTTTAGATTAGGAGGACATCATTGGAAATGGTGAGAAATGTTGATTGGGGATATATTTAGAAAGTAGAGGATGATAGGATTTACTGATGAATTGGATGTCATGTGTAAGGAAAAGGCCAATCAAGCACACATATCTAAAGTGATGAGCATACATTTCTTGTAGGAATTTTCTCATTCTTAAAATCCCAAAGTGTGATTTATTCATACAGATGGCCAACATTTCGTATCAAAAATTCTTCCCCTCCCTTTAGCTATTTTCCCTAATGAAGTGGAAGCAGGTAAAGAATGAATGACCTGTTTACTTTTTATTTAACTTAAATTTTAAAATACTGAGGGCACAAAACATACAATACAAACAATGGTTTGTTCTTCTAAATTGATACTATTGAAGGATGTCACCCTGAAGTAGGTTGTTTATGTTTGGAGTGTGGGATAAAGTTACTTGTTAAGAGACTTTGAAGCAAGAATGGATGCAACTTTTAAAAATTTTGTTTAATTTGCACTTTGCACTTTTTCTCTGCAGTTCGTTCTCTTGGTTCTATTGCACTTAGAAAAGCAGAAGACATTGACTTCAAGTACCACTTTGACTTCTTTAGTGTGAATTTCAATGAAGAACTGGTGGCACTGTATGGTGGAAGTCTTCAGAAACAAACCAAGTTTGTACATGAATGCATTAAAACAATTCTCAAACTCTATAAGGTAAGAAATAATGCAAATCAATAGTGACCACCTATTAGCATTTTTTATTTTTTAACATATTTTAAATCATTTGTTTATTTGGAAGTTGAAGATGATAGAAAGGTTTTTTTTTTTTCTTTTTTGGTGGGAGTCTGTTATTTTGAACTCAATGGTTTTTGAAGTTTAAATTGAATGTACAAGAAACCTCACATGAATTTAAGGGAAAATCTTTTTTTAACTTTATAAATTAGAAGTGCACTGAATTTTCTAAAGACCATTAGTATGGATATCTGCTTCTTGTTATGAATAACTGGTATTAGGGTAAACTACTTCCATACGTAAGCAACTATAACTAGTCAAAATATCTGAAGCACATGTTTTCAGATGTTGGACAACCAAGTAGTAAAGGACCATGACCCCTGAAAAAAGGAAAATATGTGAGGTAAGCTTCATGATTGCTTTGATTTTGTGCCTGAAAGCATTCCTCAGACCATGGGGTAAGTAGGTGGAGGTCAAAAAGAGTACATTTATATAACTGAGCCAAAGAAGGCCAAGATCAGAATTTGGGCTACTGGAGTTGTTAGATTTGTGGGTGGATATGAAAAAGAGGAAGACTAAGCAGAGCTAGAAGCTCTATAAATTTGGTATCTTTCAACTTTGAATGCAGTGCTACATATGCACGGGACAAGAAGCTACAAGGCAATAGCATACCAGGGAGAAGGTGGTGGGGTATGTCTACCTCAGGTGCAAGGAATAAGGGGCAATATATATTGTTAGAGAAATTTTAAGAGTGGAAAACATTCTGAAAATCATTATATGCCAACAATTCTAAACAGTATCAGGGATAAAATACTACTATACTACCTACTGAGGTGAGCCATTGCCTTCCATGGTATGCCACAGTGAAACTCCTAGCAAAAGAAAGCTACTGGAGAATTATGCCCTGACTGAGATTCCAGAGGTCACATGTGCTGGGAAATAGTTCTGATCAGCTACAATAGAAAGACCCAGTAGAACACATTGGATATTCATTTGAGATCCCAGAAAGGATGCAATTTAAGTATAGAGCTACTCCAGCTCTAACGTAAGAGCTCTTCTGGGATCCACTTTAATGTTTAACTATAAGCCTCAAAAATACTGAAGTTACGGATTTAAAGTAAAGGATACACATAACAAGAGAACAGATGGAGAATCTCAGCAGAGATATGGAAACTATTAAAAGAACAAAAAGGGCGATTTAGAACTGAAACAATATATATCAGATATGAAAGGTTAAGGGGGTGTCTGGGTAGCTCAGTCAGTGAAGTGTCTGACTCTTGATTTCTGCTTAGGTCATGATCTCAGGATTGTAAGATTGAGCCCTTTGTTGGGCTCTATGCTAGGTGTGGAACCTGCTTAAGATTCACTCTCTGCTCCTCCCTGCCTCTTAAAAAAAAAAAAAAAAAAGAAATGAAAAATTCAGCAGATAGGCTCCAAACAGATTGAATACTATAGAAGAGATCAGTGAATTTGAAGATAGGACAATAGGATGAAAAGGAAAGAGTCTTAACCTGTGGGACAAATTGCCTTGATGACCATAAATTTATGGTTTTTGTGGTAATACATACAACAGAATATTGCTCAGCCATCAAAAAGAATGAAATCGTGCCATTTGCAACAATGTAGATGGAACTGGCATGGTTTATACCAAGCAAAATAAGTCAGAGAAAGACAAGTATCATGTGATTTCACTTATATGTGCAATTTAAGAGACAAAACAGATGAACATTGGGGTAGGGGGAGAAAAAAAGAAGCAAATCATAAAAGACTCTAGCTATAAGAACAAACAGGGTTGATGGAGGGAGGGAGGGAGGTGGGGATGGGCCAAATGGGACTTGTTGTGATGAGCACTGGGTATTACATGTAAATGATGAATCACTACATTATATTCCTGAAACCAGTATTATTCTATATGTTAACTAGAATCTAAATAAAAACTCGAAAAAAATGAAAATGAAAATGCATCATCAGAATTTGTAAGATTAAAGTAGTTAATTTGTATGGTTAAAGTAGTTAGAAGAAATACTGTAGTCTTAAATATTTACATTAGAAAAGAACAAGGTTTAAAAACAATAACCCAGCCTTTCAACATTAGCTTAGAGAAAGAAGAACAAAGTAAACTCAGAGTACATGTAAGGAAACAATAAAGCTGAGAATGGAAATTGAGGAAACAGTATAGACAAACATTAGTGAGAAAAAAATGATACCAATTACTGATTCTTCTAAAAGATCTAAAAATTGATAAACCCATATCTACATTGATTAAGGAAAAAAAGGAGGGGAATACAAATTAACAATATTAGGAATGAAAGAAGGGAAATTTCTAGGACTCAGATGAAATTCTCAAATCCCTTGAAATATAAATTACAAAATAGACACAAGGAGAAACAAAATGTCTGTCTAGCCTTACATCTGTTTAAAATTTGTTGTTTTTAATTAAAAATCTTACTGCCAAGAAAACTAGAGCTAAATTACTTCAATGGTGAATTCTGTGACACATTTAAGGAAAAAATAATACCCATCTTATACAAACTAAGAAAATAGAGGAAGAAATAATACATTTAATTCATTTTAAGAAACCTGCAAACCCTGATTATCAAAATCAGATATTGACATTGTTTGAAAGGAAAATAGAGACCTAGTATTCCTCATGAATATAGATGTAAGATACTCAACAAGCAACTAGTCTATCAAACCCAGCAATATTTTAAAGTATAATATGACTACATAGGATTTATCCGAAGAATGCAAAGTTGGTTTAATATTCAAGTATAAATCAATATAATTTATCTAGGATCATCTCAATAGATAAAATTTATTCAGATACATTCAGCACCCATTCATGATTTAAGAAAAAAAATAGTGCATTAGTTATAGAAACAGGTTTAAGAACTATTTCTGTATTTGATAAGGTATTTATTGGATAAGATAAATAAGATGTAATCACAAAATGGAATTTCCATGTTATTCACAATAAATGCCTTTAGGGATGCTTGGGTGACTCAAGTCAAGTGTCTATCTTAGGCTCAGGTCATGATCCTAGGATCCTGGGATTAAGCCCTGAGTTGGGCTCCCTTCTCACGGGGGAGTCTGCTTCTCCCTCTCCCTTTGCCCCTCCCTCCTGCTCGTGCTCTCTCTTTCTCTCTCTCTTTTTCTCTCCTCAAATAAATAAATAAAATCTCTTAAAAATCGGGGATCCCTGGGTGGCGCAGCGGTTTGGCGCCTGCCTTTGGCTCAGGGCGCGATCCTGGAGACCCGGGATCAAATCCCACGTCGGGCTCCCGGTGCATGGAGCCTGCTTCTCCCTCTGCCTGTGTCTCTGCCTCTCTGTCTCTCTCTCTCTGTGACTATCATAAATAAATAAATAGAAGTTTGAAAAAGAAAAAAAAAATCTCTTAAAAATCCCAAAAAACAAAACAAAACAAAATCAGTAAATGCCATTTATGTTTTATGCCAGGTAGTTTTTCTTTTTTCCATTTTTCAGCTTCTATTTCTGCACCTAGCTGGTGCAGTAAGACCAGAAAAAGAAATAAAATTAATAAAGATCAAAAAGGAAGCATTAAAACTGTCTATATTCACAACTGATGTAAATATACAGAAACATTTAGAGGCACCGATATGGTTCAGCCGGTTAAGTGTCTGCCTTTGGCTCAGGTGGTCCTGAGATGGAGCCTGGAGTTGGGTTCCCTGCTTAATAGGGAACCTGCTCCTCCTCCTCCCTCTGCCTTTCCTCATGCTTGTGCTCTCTTGCTCTTTCTCTCTGTCAAATAAATAAGTAAAATCTTAAGAACTATTTAAAGGAATATACAAAAAAATTATTGAATTCATAAGTGAATTTAGCCAGATCACAGGAAAATGGTCAATATTCAAAAATCAGTGAACGAATGGAAAGTGAAATTTTAAAATGTATTTACAGTAGTATTAAAAATGCAATTCTTATGGATAAATTTAGCGAAAGATATGCAAGATCTGTACATTGAAAACTGCAAAACTTGCTGAAAGGAAATAAATAAATAAATAAATAAATAAATAAATAAATAAATAAATAAATAAAATCTTTAAAAAGAACATATAAATTCTTCCCAAATTAAGCAGTAGATTTAATGCACTACAAATCAAAATACCAGCAGGTGTTTTTTTTTTTAAAGATTCTATTTATTTATTCATAGAGACAGAGAGAGAGAGAGAGAGAGAGAGGCAGAGACACAGGCAGAGGGAGAAGCAGGCATCATACAGAGAGCCTGACGTGGGACTCGATCCAGGGTCTCCAGGATCACGCCCTGGGCTACAGGCGGCGCTAAACTGCTGCGCCACTGGGGCTGCCCTGTTTTTAAAAAAAAAAAAAAAAACTGAGAAACTTATGTGGAAATGCAAAGTACCTGAAAAAAGCCAAACTATGTTGAAAAAGAACAAAATTGGGGAACCTCCACTGCCTGATTTGAAGATTTAACTGTGTAGCTATAGTAATTCAGGCAGTGTGATATTCCTACGCATCTTGAAAATGAAATCTTTGCATTAGCCAGCATTTGAAAGTTATTTCAATAGCAAGTATTTTTTGAGCTTAAGTCTGTACTGAATCTTATAGGCAGAGACAAGCCAGATTAGATAGAGGACCTTCTATGTATCTGATATTTATTGGATAAGATAAATACGATGTGATTACAAAGTGAGATTTATCTCCCTAAATGGCATTCACAATAAATAATCATGTCTTTATTGTGTTGATAGTTCTTTTCCCTTCTGTTTTTTTTTTTTTGTTTTCATATTTTCCCTAGTGACTACATATTAAATTTACAATAGAACTAATAAACTTGGGGATCCCTGGGTGGCGCAGTGGTTTGGCGCCTGCCTTTGGCCCAGGGCGCGATCCTGGGGACCCGGGATCGAATCCCACATCGGGCTCTCGGTGCATGGAGCCTGCTTCTCCCTCTGCCTGTGTCTCTACCTCTCTTTCTCTCTCTCTCTCTCTCTCTCTCTCTCTCTCTGTGACTATCATAAATAAATAAAAATTTAAAAAAAAGAACTAATAAACTTTCTTTTAAATTAAGGCTTTTAGAAAGCAAGATTCCTGTTATAACTGGGTACAATAGGAATTCAGGACAATTAAATCTTGTTAAATGGATAGGATTTGAGTGTGGGAAAGTGAGAGAACATAGATGAAGAAACCTCATTTATTCATCACATGAATCTGCCTGCAATTATACCAATGAATAAACAGAAATCCAAACCCTCATGGACCATATGTTCTAGTGGGGAGAGGCAGATAGTAAACATCATAAATAAGAAAAGTATATACTATCTTATATAGTGATAAATAACAGGAAGAAAAATAAAACAGGGACATAGGGAGCAAAGGGTAGAGGACTAGAATTATAAATAAGGATGACCGGGGATCCCTGGGTGGCTCAGCGGTTTAGCGCCTGCCTTTGGCCCAAGGCGCGATCCTGGAGTCCCGGGATCGAGTCCCATGTTGGGCTCCCGGCATGGAGCCTGCTTCTCCCTCCTCCTGTGTCTCTGCCTCTTTCTCTCTATGTCTATCATAAATAAATAAATAAATCTTTAAAAGAAAGAAAAGAAAAGAGAAGAAAGAAGGATGACCAACGAGACCTCTGCTAAGAAGCAAACAGTTTGATAAAAATTAAAGAACATGAAGGTATCTAGGAAAAGAGTACTCCAGACAGAGGTAACAAATATACGAGGTAAGCACACGTGTGCTCTCTTGGAGAAAACAAACAAACAAAAAAGAACAGTAAACTACTGGCTGGAGCAGATATAATATGTTAGGAAAGGAAAAGTTGAAGGGAGGGCAAATTATAGAGCCTTGTAGGCAATTTTAAGAATTTTAGCTTTTATTTGAAGTGATACAGAAAGCCACTGCTGAGATTTTTGAGCAAATGAATGACATGTTCTGATTTAGGTTTTAACAGTATTCTGTGTGGTTTCGAGGTTAAACTAAAGGGACATAAAAGTGGAAGTAAAGAGACCAGTTAGGCTATTGCAGTAATTCAGGCAAGAAATAATGGTGGTTTGATCAAGTTGGTAGCATTGGAGGTGTTAAGAAATGGTCAGATGGCTATAAACATTAAAGGCAGCAAGATTTGTTGGCAGATCAAATATGGAAGGGCAACGTGAAACAAAAAGAATTGAGGATGACCCAAGGTTTTGGCTGAACAACTAGAAGTACTGAAATGCCATTAAGTAAGTTGGGGGGGAAATGTATGAGGGACAGATTTGGAGGAGATTAAGAGTTAAGTTTTAGGGGTGCCTGACTGGCTCAGTAGGTAGAGCATGTGACTCTTGATCTCAGGGTCATGAATTCATTCCACATATTGGGCATGGAACCTACTTTTAAAAAAAAGTTTTGTTTTAGATAGATTTATTTGAGATGCATGTTAGATATCCCAAGTGTAGTTAATATGCAGTTGAAGTTTAAGGTGAAAGTTCAAGAGAAGAGGGCCAGTCTGGAGATAATAACTTGAGGATTGACAGGATATGGGTGTATTTAAAGCCATGAGACTGGAAGAGATCATTAAGGAGTCAAGATACAAAAGAAGAAACTGAAGGACTGAGGCCTGAGTCATTCCCATATTTAAGAGATTAGGAGAGATGAGAAGGAAATAGCAAGAAACTAAAAAGGAGCAGCCAGTAAAGTAAGAGGAACCAGGAGAGTATGTTGTCAAGGAAACGAAATACATCATTTCAAAGAGGAAGAAGTAATCTAATGTCAAATCCTGCTGCTCAAGTAAGATAAGGATTGAGATTTGGCCATTAGATTTCTTGGTGCCTTGATAACAGTTTTGGAGTAGTGTTGAGGCAAAAGCCTGATTGGAAGGAGTTTAAGCATATGGAGGTTGAGAAATCGGAGACAGCATTACTGTATAGGCAGATTTTTGATGAATTATGCTATAGATATGCAGAGAAAGATATGGTCACTAAGGGCAAAGTGGGAGTAAAAAGAGTTTCTGATTTTTTTAAGGGAGAATAGAATTAAATCTATATACTACCAAGAATGACCTGGTAAGAGAGGAAGAAACAACAATGCAAGAAAAAAGTGAGAAGAATTGCTGGAACCATGTATTAGAGAAGGCCAAAGGGGATGGGTTTCAGAGCAGTTATGGAGGGTTTGGCTCGTTCTTTTTCTTTTCTTTTCTTTTCTTTTCTTTTCTTTTCTTTTCTTTTCTTTTCTTCTTTCTTTCTCTTTCTTTTTTTTTTCCTTCCATTTCTATCTTTTGAAACAGCTTCATGATATACTAGACCAAGTGTTCTGATTTGGGTTCAGACCAAAGCATAACTATTAAAAATATTTGGCAGAATACAAAATAGTATATATATACTAATTATGAGTAAATGAAAATGTATTTCTCTGTCTTATGCAAGGTTATATACATAGTTTAATTTTCTTTTTCCTATAAAGTAGCTCATATTTAGAGGGAAGTAGTTAGTGTTTTTTGTTATGATACTAAGACTTCATTATGCCTTGGTGATTTTTTTTTTTTTATACAGGGTCAAGAATTTGCTCCAAAAAGTGTGGCAATAATTGGTCATTCTATGGGTGGTCTTGTTGCAAGAGCATTGCTTACACTGAAAAATTTTAAACAAGATCTGATAAATCTTCTTATTACACAAGCCACCCCTCATGTTGCTCCTGTGATGCCATTAGACCGTTTCATAACAGGTTAGTACTATTACATAAACACTAACTGACCTCCCCGTTTTTTAGGATTAAACCAATCCTCACACCTACTTCTTTGAATGTGCTGCAGGTTTATCCATGTGTAAAGCAAGCAGCTCAGTTTCAAATTAACACCTCCATTTCTGAGCATCTTTGGGACTTTCAACTTAGGCTAATGAAACTGCTATTAGTTTTCCCTGTCCATAGTGTCTTACCATGGAGAGCATGTGTTTTATAATCTCTAGACACTTGGGCATCAGTTTAGTTATTTGGGGAGTGACTCTGTCTCTTAAAATATGTTTAAACTCTCCGTGTTTTGTTAACTCTTCCAGTACTCTATTTAAAATAAGCTTATATTTAAGTAAAACAGTAAAAATGAATAGATCTGCCAGCACTTTATATGATGAGATAAAATTGCTAATACTTATTACTATATGTTGGACATTGTATTAAGGACTTTACATGATGTATTATTATTTCACTTGATGCTTAGAACAGTCCTTTGAAGTAGGTTCCATCTGCATGTTTAGAGAAAGTCAGGTATTATCTTCACAGTTTATTGGAATATTGTAGGATAGAAGAAAGTTTTGAAAACAAGGAATTCTTTTTTCCTGATCAGTAAATTTATACCATTTCTTACTCTATCAAAATTTGCATTATCTTAATTTTGATGAAAATGAGAAATATACCTCAGTGACATCAAACCAAAGCACCCATTTTAACATAACATTATCAAGGAGTAATTTATTTGCTGGAATATCTGGCCCAATGGTACCTACAGTGAAGTTTAATTTTTTTCCTTATTACATTTAAAACTTTGCCTGTAGAAATCCTTCAGTAAAAAATTTTAGTTTCAGTGAAGTTGCTTAAACTTGCTTTACTAATTCTAATAATTACAAATGACTTACAGGTTTAGGGGGAAAAAAATCATAGGCATAGACAAATCATACTACTGTGTCATCACAATCAAGAACTTTCTTTATTGGGATCCCTGGGTGGCGCAGCGGTTTGGTGCCTGCCTTTGGCCCAGGGCGCAATCCTGGAGACCCGGGATCGAATCCCACATCGGGCTCCCAGTGCATGGAGCCTTCTTCTCCCTCTGCCTGTGTCTCTGCCTGTCTCTCTCTCTCTGTATGTCTATCATAAATAAATAAAAATTTAAAAATTGTTTTAAAAAAAAAGAACTTTCTTTATTACATTTTATATGGATGAGCCATGTATGGTAAATTAGAATTACTCATATCTTCAAAAACTCTTTGAGGAAAGAGCTTTCAAAAGAATCTGATTTTATTGTTTTTGAAGAGTAGCAATGGTCTGTCTCTAGAAGGTTCAAGCTGAAAGTAATTCTTAGGGTTAGGTTGCCTTTCTGTAATTAGCAAGCCTCAGGGATCCCTGAGTGGCTCAATGGTTTAGCGCTTGCCTTTGGCCCAGGGCGTGATCCTGGAGTCCCGGGATCGTGTCCCATGTCGGGCTCCCAGCATGGAGCCTGCTTCTCCCTCCTGTGTCTCTGCCTGCCTCTCTCTCTCTCTCTATCATAAATAAATAAATAAATAAATAAATGAATGAATGAATGAATGAATGAATGAATAAATAAATAATAAATAAATCTTAAAAAATAATTAGCAAGCCTCTTTATTCTGTATATATTTCATATTTCATTAAGCCAGAATTAGAGTGAAAAAACAAAAGTTCAGAGTGGAAGATCTTAGGTTTTTAGAAGACCTGTATGACCTTCAGAAGTACATTCCTTGATGGAAATTCTGCCTTAAATAGAAGAAAGGAAACTGCAATGGGCTCTGGACTTTAGAGGGCCCTGCTCTGTCTGGCATTGCTATTCTCCATATGATGAGGAGTATATAAGCCCAGCAGCCTTCCTCCCCACGTGCAGGCTGTGCTTTTACTTCTGGATAGATCATCTAGGTAACCAGGCCTTCAGACTTTTCTTCCCTGGCATGTGTGAATCTGTCCTGAGGGCAGGGATGTAAGTAAGTTTGAGTTGTGGCTAAGGGATGACTCTGCATGAGGTACAGATAGAGCTTGGATATCTTGTACCTTATAGTGCAGGATGAGGTTGGGATGGGAAGAAACGATAGTACACTGATGGGTCAGAGATTGTCCTTCCTGTGCTGTCATAATCTAGTGTCCATCTCTGAGATGTCCTGGAGTTTGTAATTTGAACTTGGCCTTCCAGTTTATTTTGATGATATATTTGTCAAGGTAGGCAGAGACAATAGATTTGATTTAACAGTTTGTTATCTGGAATTTTTACTTTTAAATATTTGGGCATGAGGCCTATGTACCCCATTGATACTCTTGTCCCAGGACCTGCAGATGTTAGGAATGGATCTGCTTAGTCACATTCTAAGTAAATACTGCTGAGATCTTTAATGGGAGGAGTTTGCTGTTCCGAAATATTTGAAGCCCTCAATGAGATCAAATGCCAGGATGAAAGTACATTAAAGTTTGATAATTTGGAAGAGGAAGTAAGAACTCCTCTGCCCCCATCTCAGATCTTTGACACTATTTTTTCTCATCTTCCATAGATAAAATGGAAAAATTGCAGATTGTTCCTGTTGAGCTACTTGTTACTCTAAATGCGTAGAACCTTCTTAACCCTTAGATTTTCCACAGCAGGGGATCCCTGGGTGGTGCAGCGGTTTGGCGCCTGCCTTTGGCCCAGGGCGCGATCCTGGAGACCCGGGATCGAATCCCACATCAGGCTCCCGGTGCGTGGAGCCTGCTTCTCCCTCTGCCTGTGTCTCTGCCTCTCTCTCTCTCTGTGACTATCATAAATAAATTTAAAAAAAAAAAAAAAGATTTTCCACAGCAGCATTGAGTCCCAAGACAAAAGTGATTGTAATTGTCCTGTGATTGTATTTTAAAAACTTAAATAGTATTTCAATAGTGGCTGGCCATAGTAGAGAGCTGCTTAGCTCTCACAGTGCCATGAGTAGAAAGATCTACAATTCTTTAGCATAGTGAACTTGTATCTTTGGAAGAATTTTAGGAGTTTCTACTTGGTATACTGTATAGCTCATGATTTAGCAGCATCTTCGTAAGATGTACAGACTTGTTTGCATCTGGGCTTATGAAAGCTAATAAAGTTTGCATGTCTTTTTTTCTTTATTGATCCCTTCAGTAGCTCTTAGTATTTGTAGTCTTATTTAATGGGAAAACAGACTATGTGTAAAGATACTGATTTTACTCAGAATAGAGAAATGTGAATAACATTGTTTATAGACCGTTCAGTATGGCTTAAATAGAAATTCAGTTTAATATTAGTATCATACCTTATTGGTACAGGGAACAACTACTAATTTTTAATGTGTGTCTTTATTTCCTACCAGATTTTTATATGACTGTAAACAACTATTGGATTCTGAATGCTAGACACATTAATTTTACCACGCTTTCTGTAGCTGGAGGATTCCGGGATTACCAAGTTCGTTCAGGACTGACTTTTCTACCAAAATTAAGCCATCATACCAGTGCCTTATCCATTGTGGTAATCTTTTTTAAGCTTCTACTGAAATAGTAGCAGGATAGATACAATAGGGTATGAAAGGAGAAACATGTAGTTGTTTGAAAGTGACTACTGAGTTGGTGTAGTGCTATTTATGTATGTGCACATGTATGAGAGAAAATATGAAAGAATGAATATGAATATGTTGGGAAGGCATAGATGCATGGGTGCTTATGTCCACAGAAAGTGAAAAGGATCTTAGAAAGTTTGTGAAAATGACTTATTTATGAAAGTGACTCTTATGAATAATTGTTCCTTGTTTAAAATAAGTACCTACCCATCAATCAGAGTTTTAACTAAAAGAAAGTGTGGACTGAAGTCCAAGGGCCCCTTGTATTTGAGTGCTATATGCAGTAGAAATGGAATATCAAACTCTTGAATGCTAAACTTAAATAAAAGTTTACCAATTTTAAAATTTAAAAATTAGCTTTGATAGTATAATAGGACCCTGATTGATGAATTTGCTAATTATTCTTCCCTGCTAGGATATCAAGTATTTGGTCTTTAACTGGGATACATAGCCTTTGTAAAGTGAGTTCAAGTTTCCTTTTAGGACTTATTTTATATCTTATAGTTTTGATCTTGAAGTCTCCAGTTAAGATCTTAACTTTTTAACTCTATGCAGTATGTAGATATTGTATGTGGTATGTATACATGTGTATACTACATGTCATCTCCAAATATAACTTAATTTCTAAGAAAAATCCAGGGCTCCTTCTACTTTTTAGGAGATAGTGCTTTGATTCATGGTTGTTCTCTTCATAAATAGTCCCTTGCTTGGTTCATCGATTTCCCCACCTTAGATTATTTTTCATTTATTAAAAAATTATTATTGAATGCTTGCCACACATAGAATCAAAGTTATTAAGTCTTTGTGCTATTACCCACCATTTTCTTATTACGAGAGGAGTTGTGATATAACCATAATAGCTTTGAAACTAAATTGGTAAATCTCTGAAACCTCATAATATTGATATGAATCTTTTTATTTTATGTTAAATATTTGGGGCAGATATTTGCTGGAAGTCTTCAAAACACTATCAACTCCAATAAACACAGATATTTTAGTCATATAAAGTTAGATGTAATTATTTCCTAGACTTGGCCTGGAGCACGTTGCTGTATTGATGCCCCTTCCTACAGCCTATCTTTTAAAAAACTGGTTTCTTTAATTTTGTGTGTGTGTGTGTGTGTGTGTGTGTGTGTGTGCGCGCGCGCGCACATGTGCTTATGGCCCTCTTTTCTAATCCATTTGATAATTTGTTGCTTTTAAGGCAGCTTGTATTTCTGCATCTCTAATGAAAATATTTTACCTCTTAATGGAATTTTCTCAAACCTGGTTATTGTCTGAATTTTATTTAGTATTTTAGCCCCCAATTAGCTTGTAATCTTTCATATATCTACATGTATATTACTTTAAAAAAATAATTAAGAAACAATTTTTTAGTGATTATTTCAAGAATAGTTAATTGGCATTTGTATCCATTGGGACTAGAAAAAATTAAGTTAGAGATCTTGATCATATTAGTTATTAGTAAGTTAGGCTGAACTGCTGTAATACACAGTCATACAGATAATGGCACCTAAACATTTTGTTTCTATACCCGCCCTAGGTATGTATTTAAGTTGGTGGGTGGTTTTTGAAGGAGTTCTGTTAAGGGACCCAGGCTCCCAGTAAGCAACCCTTTCTTGAATGCAGAGAGAGATGCTGTGAAAAATACCAGATTTACTTAATGTTTCCTGTTTTAAGATGCTATTCATAAGAAAGTCATTGTCTGGTATAAAAAGGAATCTCCAGTTCTTGAAGGGTGCTGTGCCATTGTTAGGTAGTCTTCTTCAAACTGTTGTCTTTTTAAGGAGCTTTTTGCTGTTATGTCTCTAACTAGTAGTATATATCCTAATCTAGGGATTTTTTCAAATTAAGTCTCTCTGGACCATACTTGTAAGAGTCTGATATGGGGGCACCTGGGTGGCTCAGTCTTTTAAGTGGCTGACTCTTGATTTCGGCTCAGGTCATGATCTCAGATCATGAGATCCAACCCCATGTCAGACTCCATGCTGGATGTGGGGCATGCTTCAGATTCTCTCTCTCTCTCTTAAAAAAATCTGATTTGATAGCTTTGGAATTGTGATCAGGCATATTTATTTTGAAAAATCTCTCCAAGTCTGAGTATTTCTCAGGCACGCCTGATTAAGAAGTAACATCTTAGAATTTACCAGGGATAGTCTTAGTCAGAACTAAAATTACTAAGATAATTGTGATTTATTAAAGAATCATAGAAATTAAACTTGAGTAAGGAATCGATGGATGTTTTAATAATTTTTAAAGGATAATTTAAGCTTGACTAAGTAGTAATGACAATGATTTTATGCAGGAACTACCTTAATATTTTTGGGTCACCTTTCTAAGAATGTATCATTTAAATATGTCTGTGCATCATAAAATATTGAAACTAATGTTATGTGTTTCTAAATATTAGCTAATGAGAATTTCAAACTTGGGAGAGTAACAAATGTGCTTTTCTTAAGTTGGATTTTTTTTTCTTGTTCTTTTAGAGTTCAGCAGTGCCTAAGACGTGGGTCTCAACAGACCACCTCTCCATTGTGTGGTAAATTAATATAACTGTGGTCCTTTTTTCTCATCCGTGCATTGATTGGTTTGTTAGCTTTGTATTAGTACTTTACTCATAAATAAAGATTTGATAGAAAGATAAGACTTAAGGGCTTAGAACTCTGACCTTGGTTTTTGGTCTCAGTTGATCAAGTTTCCTCTTGAGGAACCACTAGCATGAGTCTCAAATGAAGCTGGAATCAAATATCAAAATTATTTAGAGTTTGTCATAGTTGGGCAGAATCAAAGGTACTTGTGATAGCACCTTCTGAGCTCTTGGCCAGTCACCAAACTCAGGGACTTGGTGAATATAGCATTAATTATTGTAGAACAGCACATGAAAAAACAAGTAGGAGTTAGATTTACCTTTAATATAAATAGATTAAATAAGGGTCAAGAAATACATAGACCCCAGTATCTTATTGCTACATGTTTTGGCTTAAATATTCTTTTTTCACTTCCCTCTGGCCGTGCAGTCCGTGGTGTCTGCAAGAAGCACAAGTTTAGACACACAAAGATGGGGCAGACAGTTGTCCATAGCTGGGGTGGACAAGGAGACTTGGGAAAAAAAGAAGAACCCTGATAGTTCCATTGTCAAACATCTAGGAGGATTTAATTTGCTTTATTTTTATGTGTTTATGACTTTAAGGTACATGTTTAATAATAATGATTTATTAAATACTTTTAGAGTTTAGAGCAATAAACTCACTTATTCCATTAAGTAATAGAATTATGCATATTTGTATGAAAAGTATGTATTTTTTAAAAGTTTCATTTATAACATTTTATTCTTTAGGTGTAAACAATTACAGTTGACTACAATTCGAGCATTCTTTGATCTTATTGATGCTGATACTAAACAAGTATGTATTTTTAAGCTAAAAGTTACTTCATTAAAGTAAAAGCTTTTGTTACAGCGGAATGGATTTAATACTTTTTTTTTTACTTTCATAAAAGCAGAAGCTTTTTATATATTGATATAATATATCAATATATACTTAGTTTCAAATTAGAAATATATTTTTATCTGGTAATACTTTGATCACTATTAGTAATTAATAGAATGCAATGAAAATGAAAAAGTGAAAAGATACGCTAAATCTTCCTCCAGTTATTTCCCTTTACTTGTTTAAAATTTGATATATATCCTTTTAACTTTTATTTAACTTAAGGAAAATCCTTACTGCAAACTATTTTATCTTTTTTTTTTTTTTTTAGTAATATGTTCTAAACTTCATGATCTACCTTATTAGACATTTTTGTTTAAATTTATTTTTAAAAAAGCATCTTTACCTTTCTGGTAAGGTCAGATGTCTTCATTCATTGACTAACCCAAGCTCATCAGAACTTAAAATATGTATTTTTAGTAGCTGAATGTTTCCTGTAATGAAATTTCACTTATAAACAGCACAAACCAGTGATTTTCCAAGTTGTTCAATTAGCAGGACACCGGAAATCCTAGTGCCATTTATGGAACATCATATTACTCTTTCATCTCTTTCTTGTCTTCCAGCAGATATATAGTATGGGCATTAAGGATTTAAACAAAATTTAGGGAATTCTATCCATGAACTTAAATCTCTCTGAATTGGGAACAGATTTTCTTTTTCATCTTAAGCAACATTTTTTTTTTTTAAACCTTAGGACATCTTGTAGTCCTTCTCTGTTTCATAGAAACCTGTTTTGGGAACTGTGGCTATGGCTTCTCCCTTTGGAAAAAAAGTTCCTTGTGTATTAGGTAATTTGCTTCATTATGGGAAAGTATTTAGCTCAGATATTTTTGGATTCTTTCCCTTGAAGGCTCCAGTTCTTTCAGAGACTAGTATGTGTGGCCTCTTTCTCAATAGGTCTCTAGGTAATGCTTTCCTTATTGTGTCTTAGAACTTTGCTCCTATAAGACTTTTTCTCTCTTGGAAGTGGGGTAGTGTTTGTGTTTTTTCCTTAAACCCTTCAAGAAGCTGCAGAACTACTATTAGAATCATAGATACTTATCTCTCTCCTGAAGAATACAATAAAACAGAGACACCCCCCCCCAAAAAAAGAGAGAAACCCAAATTGTGTGTTATCACATTTTAAGCCATAAGATACTTATTTAAGTTAGTATATTGATTAAAGTAAATCAGCTTTATAGAATTAACACTATGAATTGATCATGGAATGCATTTTTCAGTTTTTCAACCTTGTTTTGTGAGTCTTAACTATGGCTAATGTTTTTTAGTTTGAGAGAATGCAACTAGATATAGCAGTAGAATCTATTAAAATTCCAAGAGCAGTTGTATTTGGAATGATATTTGGTAGGCTTAGGAAAAAGCCCATTTCAATCTGTGAGGAACAGTAGTATCACAGACAGGCATATATTTTTAAAATTATACATAAAACTAATTTTTTTGTATAGTTGACACACTACATAAAACTAATTTTAATAAATCTTGTTTTCCATTAAATCCTGAGATAAAATTTTTAATACTAATCTATAATAAATTATAATTCTGGATAGATAAGTATTTTACAGACACATTTTAAGGGACAAATGAGAAATTTTTGATAACTAATATTGCTAAGAATCAAAATATGAAACTGAGTTTTGTTTCACAAAGTCACATATATAATGGGCTGGTCTAAACGTTAGACAATAAAAAATTAGGATATGATTGCTATTCCTCAAGAAGATATTAAGAAGAGAAGCAAACATATATACAGGGAAACCACAACTCAAAGCATAATTAGTCCCAAACATGTGGTACAAAGGAATCAGAATTAAAGAATAATTTCTGATGGTTATCAGCATAAAACACATAGCTGGAAACTTACGAGTGGATAGAGTCCATAGAGAGTAAGGATGGGAGAGTCCTGAGTTAAACTGAAATGTTGGCAAAAAGACCAATTACTTTCAGTTGATTGCAAACAGATGTGGCTGCTTTAAAAAAATCAACACTAGTTTTATATTAGATTGAGTTGATTGAAGTATTGAGTCTGCATCAATGAAGATAAAATTTCCACTGCTCTCTACCATAGTTACACAATTATCTAAAGAACTATATTCTATGTTGGATGTTGTATTATAAGGAGGACATTAACAAACTTGAGTTTATCCAGGGAAGGCAGTCAGGGTAGTGAAGGTTTGAAACAGTTCCCTGAAAAAGATGATGTATATAACAGTCTTCAGTTTCTTGAAGGGCTGCCCCTAACTTAGTTTATCAAAGTAACAGGGAATGAGATTTGCTCTAAATATGGCAGAGCATTTTCCTCATAGGAATTGTTAAAATTGGGATGTGCAGTCTTTCACAACAGCAAGTTAGAAATAAATGTTCAAGCAAATGCTGTGTGACTTCCTAAGGGGTTCTAAATCTTTTCAATGGGTAAATCTTTTCACCTGGGTCCTCACTGTCATTTCATTGTCATTCTCTCTCCAACTGTGTGGTTGAGAAAATCAGTTACCTGTTAGGGCCTCAGTGCTTAAACTAGAGAATTGAATAGATGGATTTTAATGGATTTTATACCCAAGTACTTTTTCTTTCTTTAAGGGAGGAACTGGTATAAAGTTGCAGACATTTATTTTACTAGGATATTTTAAAACAGACAACAAAAAATCCTATTGTCTGCTCTCATTTTCATTTCCCAAAAGAAAGTATATTGAGACACAGTGAAAGTAAGACAGAGTAAAGCAAAGTAGCTTCCAAGGAAGGGCAGTTGGGAATTCGTATTTTCTCTAATGACCAGTGAATTATTTGTTGTGAGATTGGCACTGGTCTGAATTTGGAAACTAGTGTGTTGGAATCACTAGACTGGAGGATCTCTTAAGTTCTCATCTGATTCCATACCTTTGGATTTGTAACTGTTACTTGAGAGACATTCGTTGATAATAATTGAAAGCATGGGCTCTGGAGCCAGACTGCCTAAATTTGAATCCTGGCTCAGACTCTTTAACAGGAGTATGACCTTGGGTAAGTTCCTTCATTTCTCTATGCTTTAGTTTCTTCCTAAAAATGCAAATAAGAGGATTATTATCTCCTCAAGCTCTTGTAACATATTAAGTACTTCAAACAGGGCCTGGCCCGGAGTAAGTAACTATTGGCTCTTATCATTATTACTTGATGCAAAGTTTCAGTGAACAGTAGATATAAAAAGATTCAAAATGTATCATTATTCTTTCTAGATAACTCAAAATCCCAAGAAGAAATTGTCAGTTTTAAATCACCACTTTATAAGACATCCAGCAAAACACTTTGAGGAAAATCCAGCAATAATTTCTGACTTAACAGGTTGGTGGTAATAAAATGTTTTTATTTTAAATCAAATTTTATTTTCAGGTAAGTTTGTTCTTAGCAAAGTCTTTGAAACTGTGGTACCTCAGGTATTATAATATTTTATTATTTTCTCTGTGATGGTTTCTTATAAAGTTCTTGGTTCAGGAAGGGAAAGAGGAGAAAAAACAGCTTATAAGATGTTGCTGATAAAAATTTTGTTCTGAAAATAACATGACAAGTAGAAAATTTTAAAGAAAGAGTTAAATGTCTATTTCCTGACAGTCACATAAAATACTATAATTTTTATTGACTTAAGTTTTCAGTATCAGTCATTTTTAGTCTTCTTTTGGTTTAAGAGCATATCCTTTGCTGTTAATGTAATACCTGTTATACTCAGCTCGGAAAATAAAATGATTTATTTCCTTTTTATTGATATTTTATTAAAGATACCAAATAAATTTAAAATGCTTTACTTGATGTGAATGCTAGTTGGGGATGAGCATAAATAACTTCTTACTGGATTTTTTTGTTTTAAAATAGTGATTGTTCAGGAAACCAATTCTTTTTCAAATCCTATTGTAATTGAGAAGTACTTTGTGAGCATTCTTTATTTAATATTTAAAAAACAAGCCAAATTAATTTCCTTTACCTTAGGGACATCTATGTGGGTTCCAGTAAAAGTATCCAAATGGACCTATGTGGCTTACAATGTAAGTATACCCTCACTGGTTAAAAATTTTTTTCAAAAACATTTTATTATTTTTGTTTGTTTACATTTTATTATTAATCTTTAAAAGTTAAAGATTCTTGGGACGCCTGGGTGCCTCAATGGTTGAGCACCTCCCTTCAGCCCAGGGTGTGATCCTGGAATCCTAGGACTGAGTCCCACATCAGGCTCCCTGCATGGAGCCTGCTTCTCCCTCTGCCTGTGTCTCTGCCTCTGCCTCTCTCTGTGTCCCTCATGAATAAAGAAATAAAATCTTTAAAAAAGAAAAAGATTCTTGGGGCTCCTGGGTGGCTCAGTTCAGTTACATTTCTGTCTTTGGCTCAGATCTGATCCCAGGGTCCTGGGATTGGGCCTGATGGTCAGGCTCTCTGCTCAGTGGGGAACCTGCCTCTCCCCCCTGCTTGTGCACATTTGCTCTCTCTGTGTGTCAAATAAATAATTAAAAAAAATTAAAGACTTAGGGCTCAGTTTATTGAATGTATGACTCTGGATCTCACCTTAAGTTGTGAACTCAGGGTCATGAATTTAAGCCCTGCATTGAGCTCTATGTTAAAAAAAATTTTTTTTGAAAATAAATCAAAATTAAAGACTCTTTTAAAAAGGTAACTACCTATATTTTCCCATATTAAAACAAGTTAATGATAATTCCTTAATAATATCTAGTGTTCAATTTTCCAGTTTTATTGTAACTCAAATTTTTTCTCAGTTTAAATGAGGTTACAAATAATGTCCACATATTGTCATTTGTTGATATCTCTTATTCCTCTTTTAATTTCTTATACTTTCTCCACCCCTTTTCTTTCTTTGTAGCTTACTAGTTGAAAAACAAATCACTTGTCCTATAGAGTTTTACAGTCTTGATTTTGCTGATTGCATTCCTTCGGTGCCATTTAGCATATTCCTTTGTCTACTCTTTTCCTATACCATAATACTTGGATCAGATTCAGTTGCTTAATCAGATTCAGTTTTTGTTTAGGCTAGACTCTCTCTTTTTTTGTGATATTAGCAGCTATTGATAAAAAGTGCCTAGAGTCATTCATTCATTTAGGAGGATGCAAAATGGTGGTACCCTGGGCAGCCCAGGTGCTCAGTGGTTTAGCGCCGCCTTCGACCCAGGGCCTGATCCTGGAGACCCGGGATAGAGTCCCGCATCAGGCTCCCTGCATGGAGCCTGCTTCTCCCTATGCCTGTGTCTCTGCTTCTCTCTCTCTCTCTCTCTCTCTCTCTCTCTCTCTCTCATAAATAAAATTTAAAAATAAAAGCTAAAAAAATGGTGGTACTCTGATTTTTTTTTTAACAAGAACACTAAATTGTGAAATCTCTCATCTACTAAATTTATTAAAAGTGGAACATATCGAAAAGGAAACAATTATAATTGCTTGGATCTTTGGATCTTATATTTACTGGTTTCCAGAAAAGCAAATTGGTTCACAAGCCTCCTCCATCAGTGATCATAAATGGTTTTGGTTTGTTTCTTCTAGTACTATAATGAACTCCTATTTTAAATATATTTGTTTCTATCTAAAATATAAAATTCTTCTGTCTTTGACCAGTGGAGGCCATTCAAATTAGGTTTCTGAATCTTTTAGGTAAAGCCACTCTTTTTATTTTATTGATAGCTTTTTCAGTACCTAGTATAGGAAGATATTCAAGCTCATTTTGTTCATTTCCTGCCCCAGACCTTGAATCAACTTTTTCTCTAAGGAGCTCCTCCTATTATTTGGGTAATGGTGTCTAAAAACCATAATTTGGCCACTAGAGATATTTGTGGCTAGTGGGTTAGCTTTTCTAGGCCTTTTCAGTGGACAGAGCTAAGAAATGTATTTTATCTTGATCATAAGGCCAAAACCAGGAGCACCTGGGTGGCTCAGCTGTTAAGCATCTGCCTTTGGTTCAGGGCAAGATCCCAGTTTGAGCATTGAGTCCCACATCAGGCTCTCTATAAGGAGCCTGCTTCTCCCTCTGCCTATGTCTGTGCCTTTCTCTTTAAAAAAAAAAAAAAAAAAAAAAAAACACCTTCCATTTATACTGCCATTTTCAAGACATAGTCAGGACTGCAGGGTACCTGATACCCTTCACTGATCTGTATCTTCTTCCCACTCCTAGAATATTAGTTCTCAACAACACCAAGAATGATAAAGTTAGAATAATTACTCATTGCTTTATCTGGATATTTGAATGATGAAATTATCTACTCTCTTAGTTTTATTATATTTTTCCTTTTTTTTCCTTTTAGGAATCTGATAAGATATATTTTACATTTCCTCTTGCAAATCATCGAAAAATCTACACTCATGTCTATTGTCAGAGCACCATGCTGGTAAGATAATTGGTACATTGTATATAAATTGAAAAGGCTACTTTTTTTGTTTGTAAGATTCAAAATCTAAGATCTCTTCTTCAGCTATGAACTATTATTAAATCTGATAAGTTGAAAAATACTTGGAACAGAGTTTTGATTGAAAAGCATTAATCGAAATGTTTCCATAGCTGATAATTTACCATTATACTTTTGGCTCTATTTTAGGTCTTTCACCGTTTTTCTACCTTACACTGTATTTAGGATGAAGGAATTCAGTTCAAATGTCCTTTAATTCTAAAATTCTGGTAGTACTTTAAAGAAAAGATATATTTAAACAGAACTATTTTGTAGGGATTTTATGAAGTAAATACTGTTTTTCTGTTTGCTTCCATACTTAAATTTACAAAGCTTTTTATACCAAACATTCTCTAAAATAGTAACTTTGTTACAATGTTAGACTCAGAGTTACCAAAGTGATGATTTTATATACTTATTTTTAATGCATACCTACTATCATGTATTGTCAAAAAAAAGTGTTTGATGCTTTAGCATCCCTTTGTTACATTAGGAATATTTAAGTAATAATTTAATAATTTGTCAGCATTTCTTATTTTCAGGAATTGGTTCCCAATTTGGGTTCTTTTCCCTCTTTTCTGATTTTTTTTTTTGGGGGGGGCATTTTCCAGGTTTCTTTATATTTTTGTTTTCCATAATTTGTTTCCACTTCTCCCTTTTGTTGGGTTATTTGTACTCTTTAGAACTACAGTCTGACACTTAGTTGGTAGATACAGCCATTTGATATATAGTAGAGTCTTTAGAAATAATAGGCAAGCATCATGGGCTAGGTACTAATAAATACTAATTTTAGTGAGATGACCAGAGATTTGTATCTCTCACAGAGACTAGTATCTCTCAGCCAAAAATCTGGATGGGCAGTTTATTTTAAGAGAATCTGACCCTTAAGCTACTGGCTTAAAATATCCAAACTCACTTAATACTAAATTCCAAATCAGAATGTCAGTATTATAGTGAGAAAAATCCTTGCCAAAGTTCAAATTCTCCATTTGGCTTATTGGAAGATCCCTTTGCTGTAATTAAGGTCCATGGGTATTAATTAGTATAAAGTCATGTGGTGAATTTTTAAAATCTTTTCAATTTGTATTATAGAAGTTTTCAATCTTATAAAAGTAGAGAGATTGTGATAATGAAATCTGACATAATCATCACATAGCTTTAACAGTTATCAACCCTGCCATTTTTATTTATCCCTCCTCACTCTTTTTTTGACTGAAGCATTCTCAAAGCAAATTGTAGGCATTTTATCTTTGCATCCTTAAATACTTCAATATGTTTTCTAACATAAGAATTGTGCATGGGACTATAGTATCATTTTGTCCAACAAAATTATTAATTCCTTAATATCATGTAATATCCAATCCATGTTCAGTTGTCCTCTTTTCCGTCAAATTCTAAGTTCATTTATTTGAATCAGAATCTAAACAGTACACATATTATATTTGATTCATGGATCCTAAGTTTCATTTATAATGGCCCTCTCTTTTCCCCCCATGTCATTTATTTGTTTAAGCAAATGGGTTACATATTCTACAGAATTTCCCACATTTTGGGTTTAGCTAAGTATTCTTGTGGTGTCTTTTTTTCTTTTTAAAGTTGTATTTATTTGAGAAAGAGAATGTTTGAGAGAGCATGGGATGAGGGCAGAGGGAGAAAGAGAAGTAGAATCCCCACAAGCAGGGAGCCCTAGGAGAGGCTCGATCCCAGGACCCCAGAATCATGCTGAGCCAAAGGCAGAAGCTTAACCAGCTGAGCCCCCTAGGCTCACCTCTTGTGGTATCTTTTAACATGTACTTCTTCCTTATGTTGTCTGTACACTGATAGTTAGATTTAGAATCTTGATTAATTTTTTATTTAATTACCATTAATTTTTTTGTGGCAAGAATGTTTTATAAGTAGAACTAGATACTTACCAGAATATATATAGTAGCTAGTTGTCCCACTTTAGTGACTGAAAGACTTATTGTGGACTCAGGTGGTATCAGCATGGTCTATCCTTTATAAAGTTCCTAATTAGTTTTTCATCTAACAATTTTAGCAGCCACTGAGGGTATCGTTTTTTACTACAGATAGATTATTTTTAGATCTGTGAATTTTATGATCAAGAAGCATTTTCTTTTCTGTATACTTTAGGAATTGGTTGAGAGTTCTTGAGTGACTTTTTCTAAGATTTTCAGTATAATTTTCATAATTAATTGAGTTAGGGATGCTTACTAGATAACTTGAAATTGTTCTTTTGACACTTTATAGATTATATCAACGTGATGTTTTAGGTGGGCTTGAATAATATTTTTCTACTTGGTGAATAAGTCAGAATTTCCTATACACCAAAGTGTAGTTGTATAAAATATTAACTTTCATGGGCTATCTTTGAAGATAGGCTCCCTTAGTAGCTCCAAAAACCCATTACAAAGGTGAGTTGGACCTTGAAAGCTTACTAGATTTTCCTTGTCTAAACTAGGCAGATATTTTCTTTTACCTTACTTTATAATGTCATATTATTCTGGGAAACACAGGTAACTGATATAGAAGTCACACAAGTGGGATGCCTGGATGGCTCAACATCTGCCTTCAACTGAGGGCATGATCCCAGGATCTGGAGATCAAGTCCCACATCAGCCTCCCTATGGGGAGCCTGCTTCTCCCTCTTTCTATGTCTCTGCCTCTGTATGTGTGTTTCATGAATAAATAAATAAATAAAATCGTAAAAAAAAAAATCACACATTTTGCCAGCAATAAAGAGCAGACAAATTCCACATTGTTTTTTTGTTTCCTTTCAGCTTTCTTTTCTGTATTCTTAGAAAATGTCTTCACATTGTATTTAAGCTCCATTAGGGCAGATACCATGTCTGCCTCATTCATCATTTTTTTCTTGAAGGCTAAGCATAATCCCATGGCCCTAGAATGGACTTCATAAATATTAGTTGGATGAAAGGATTGATTTCATTTTCACTATCCTCTCTTTATTAAGGAAAAATTTATGTAGCTATCTGAGCAGTATTTCTTATCCTCTTAGACCTTGGTGTAGGATTTTACTATTTGGATCATCAGTTCTTGGAACATCACTCTTGCTACTTCCTTAAAAGTTAGAGTGAAGATCTTTGGGCATACTGCTCTTAAATGACTGAAGATAAATACATAATATTGTTAAAATATCAATACCATATCTGCAGCATTCCCATGCTACCCTGATAAAGTAATACCTAGCTTTTATATTGAGCCCTTGCAGTTGTCCTTCAATCTAAACACATTCTCAGTTACATAGAAGGTTTGCCTAATAATCAAGTAAGAACTCAAGATAGCTGACAAGTTATACTTAGAGTACTTGGCTCTGGATTTTTTTTTTTTTTTTCTGTCTGTAAAAAGTCAACTTCTAGGTGTTCATCTTCTATTTTTACTTAAAATGTAGTTACTTACTATGTAACTACCTAATTAAAGCATGGACATTGCTGAACTCTGAAAAGTGTTGTTCAAAAATTAAAATTGCTTAGGCAATATGCTGTAGAGAGGTCACTCTTTCTCTTACTGCTGTTCTGGGTTACTTGCTTATCTATCTATATTTGACTTCTCTACTGCCCTTGACCTGTATGACTTTGAGAATAAAACTTGGAAATGTTTTGGAATAACAGGTTGCTATTTTATGTTTCCATCATGCCTACTACTCCTGTCATATAACAGTAAAATGTTAAAGCTGCCTATTTTATGTAATTATTTTCTATAATATTTAGTGTGCTTTATGTTTTTTTTTTGTGCTTTATGTTATTAACAGGATACAAATAGTTGGATTTTTGGCTGCATAAACAGCACTTCTATGTGGTAAGTCTTTTGAACCTAAGCACCTCAATTGTTCATTTTTCTCTATAGAAATAATAAGTCATACTTTTTAAAGATGTGTTTATGTTAGAGAAAAAGGGAGCCAGGGGGATTGGGTAGGGACAAAGGGAAAAGGGGAGAGAATCTCAAGCGGACTTCTAACTGAGCAGGGAGCCTGATTTGGGCCTTGATCCCACCACCCTGAGATCATGACATGAGCCAAAATCAAGAGTTGGATACTTAACTGACTGAGCCACCCAGGCACCCCCAAATCACACTTTTTAGCTATTTTAGCTACATACATGTTTAAGCTCATTCTGCTATGTTACATTATAGTATTTATTTTATTTATTTATTTGACAGAGAACAAGAAAGCACAAGCAGGGAGAGCAGCAGAGGGAGAAGGAGAAGCAGACTTCCCACTGAGCAGGGACCCCACTGTGGGGCTTAATCCCAGGACCCTGGGATCGTGACCCAAGTCAAAAACAGATGCTTAACCCACTGAGCCACCCAAACACCCCTATGATACTGATTTTAAAATAAAAAATGAAGGATATTAATATATCAGTATTTACAAACATTGAAATGGTTGTGAGGAAAACCAATTTTTTTGCACCCAAAAGGGTTGTATGGATAAGAGTATATTGGATTAGACTTATTGGACTTCACTTCATTAGAACTTTCTCTGATAAGTTTGTAGATGGTTTCTTTTTCCTCTGAAGCTTATTTATAATTTATAATATTTTAATATATTTGTCCTTTAATTGTATTTTCATATTCATTTCAAAGCCGGCAAGGAGTTGATTTATCATGGAAAGCTGAACTGCTGCCAACAATTAAGGTAAATTATGGCTTTAGGATGGTAATATCTGGGCGAAAAATACTTGAGTCTATAGGCATTTTAGAATATGGTCTTTTATTAATTCATCTAAGTATTGAGATTTGCTAACATATATTTTATAAATATTTTCTCTGGAAATATATTTTAACATGCAATTTTTGTTTAACTTTCAGGGATAAAAACTATGAGTTAACAGTCCTCTAATGAAAACCCTCTAATGAAATCTCTGTATTATAAATCTTCTAATGAAAGCTCTATATTACAGTATCATACCAAGAGCTAGATAAATTTTTAAAATTCATGTTGATGGTATATTTGGAATGGTCTATCTTAAAATAGAAGCTGAGTAGTAGTTTGAGTTTTTGGGAGAAGACCTATAGTAGGAAAGTGAGCATCTCAAAGTGGCATAAAGTAATTTTCCAGATTTCCTTCAACATCACTTTGTGATCAGGCACTTGGATAACTCTACTTTATCTAGTACTACATGGGATTTATTTAATAATTGTTTGTGATTTCCTTAAGTAACTCTGATAGGTCAGCAAGCCTTCTTACAAAAAGTTAATATTGTTAAGAAAATAAAACAATTCTAAAATTTGATGAAATTACCTGTTTAATTTCTCAGCTGTATTTACTATAATTTATAGTCTTATACCAGGAGTGATAATTTTCCGTCTTCAAGTGAATCTATACTTTTCTTTAAAAGTAGTTTTTCATAATAAATACTAGCCTCATAAACTTGAAAGTGAAGCCATCAGGGTTGTTCCCAATCATCTCCCAATCCAACTCAGTTATTTATCTGTATATTTATTCAGAATACAGTCAATCTGTACTATACTAACAGAGAGGAATGATGACAGAAGGATGATTGTAAGTTGCTTGACTTTGGAATGGTTGCAGTTATTTTTCTATCACCTCGGTCATATTCATTCATATGGCTTTGTATTCAAGAAATAAATATTGTAGGAAAATGATTAGACTCATATGAACATTTTTAATGTCTCTCACTGGTCCTATCCTAACCTTTAGGAGCAAAACAAAAGTAGTAGGATATACTTAATAATTTTTCATAAATAAAAAAAAAATAATTTTTCATAAATCTTTCCTTGAATATTGAAATTGGGCTATGTATCCTATCCAAACAGTAGTTTAAGAGTTAAGAAGAAATAAATTACTAAAATCTGGGTAGAATGTTATTTGCTTGATTTTAAAAAATTACTTTTTTAAATAATAAAATCCTCATGTATATTTTTAATCACAAATATTCAACAGTGCATTCATCTAGACCCCTGTGGTGTTTCTTCTAAATATAAGACACAGTTGGCAGAAAAGCAGGAGAACAAGCTATCCCAGCTGCTTACTTCCCCCCTCCCCCCAAGATTTATTTCAGAAAGAGAGAGAGAGTGCGCATGAGGGGAGGAGCAGTGGGAGAGGGAATAAGAGTCTCAAGCAGATTCGCCCTCTGAGCAGGGAGCCTGACAAGGGGCTTAATCTCATGACCCTGAGATCATGACCTAAGCCAAAACCAGGTCACCCAGCTGCTGCTAGCTTTTTATAGTGCATGCTGGAACAAGTTGCCAGCAGCATTAAAAGCCGCCTGAAATTTAGAGGGGGAAAATGGGAGAGAGAAGTTTAGAAAATAAGGATTAGAATATTCTACAATCTTAGGAGTTCTCAGTTGAAGAGGATTATAATTGTTAAACATAGATAAACTTCTCCATTTTAATGAAAATAAAAATGATATATGTTAGCTATTTATAAAAAGGACATAGTTCTTTTGCCATCAAGTTGAAGAGAAAGAAAAGATACGAGTGAAAAGATTTTATGACTTTCATTCATACTTATATCATCTCAACAAAAGTACTATCAGATGAGAATCATACATTCTTACTATTTCTGCTGAGTGAACTATTTATTAATAGAAGACTCCAGCAAAGCACCTATAAATTCAATTTTTAAGTACCAATCGTATGGAATTTTCCTGTCATGGGTACAATGAAAAAGTTTCTAAAAACACACAAAACATAGCAGGCTAAAATTTGGTAAGCCAAAATGAATTTATTGTTGAAAACAAAAAAATCACCTTTCTAAAGGTAACTAACTTGTATTAGAAAACTATATTATCACTACTTTGCCTTAGGCATACGTTAGCACCATAGCTTTGCTCTGTACATTGAAACCTGTTTGATTTCCTGTGTGTGTTGTCTCAGCATTAAAGGAATTTTACCCTTAAAACACTGAAAAATTTCCAAACTTCCTATTAATCTTACTGGTCAACCTGACAATTTCATGAATATGATAAAATTGTCAAGTTCCTACTGATATTATAACTATGTAGGAACTTTATAAGGAAATTTTTTGACAGTTACCTTTTTAAAGTATTCTAATCCTAACAAAGAAATTCTTGAGGAAAAAAAATATTCTTGAAAATAAGTAACAAAAGCTAGTAGAGTGGATAGCCACACAGAGTAACCATGGTTCTTTCAAATTAATTTATCTTTCATACTGTCTACCATCTGTTTGGTTGGTCTCAGTTGCCTGTTGCTGTGGTTTGTGAGGCCCTTTTAAGGCTTTCTCATTTACATTAGAATATTATACGTCTGTTGCGGAGACTTTGCTAATAAGTAAGTCGAGGGGAAGCCTAGTAGTCAAAAGTATTCACAGGTGAATCTAGTCAGATTGTTAGAGTGCCATTTGTTCACAGTTCTTTAGCTTCAGCACTTCTGTTCAATTTGCTCACATAGGTACTTCTGAAGAACACTGGAGAAAGTTAACTGCAGAAGTTTCTTAATGTGAAAAAAAAAGTTTCTTAATGCGTACAAATTGTTACCATGTATAACTATTGCCGCCCCCATATCTACTTTAGGATAAAACCTGGATTTAAAAAACGTATTAAAAAAAATAAATAAATATTTAAATAAATAAATAAATACAAACCGTATTTAGGGATCCCTGGGTGGCGCAGCGGTTTAGCGCCTGCCCTTGGCCCAGGGCGCGATCCTGGAGACCCGGGATCAAATCCCACGTCGGGCTCCCAGTGCATGGAGCCTGCTTCTCCCTCTGCCTATGTCTCTGCCTCTCTGTGTGGTGTGTGTGTGTGACTATCATAAATAAATAAAAATTTAAATAAATAAAAAATAAATAAAAACCGTATTTGGTGCTCTGGCTTTTTATTAAATAGACCAATCTCTTATCTATTCATCCCTCAAAGTATAGACTATAGGATCTGGTCTTAATTTTGAAAATAGATGTTCATCTGATGAGGTCTTATTATGTCTTCATGTCATTTACTGAATAAGTTCTGGGGGATCATATTCATATACATCATTAGACAAGGACTCTACTGCTTGGGCTAGATTAGAATCATTTGAGATTAAGTTGCAACTCTTCTGTTACTTGTAGCATTCATTCATTCATCAACTATTTGAATGCTCTTTGTCATATGCTACCAAAATAAGTGTAGAAGTCATATTGTAATGTTATAAAGAACAAATGGACAAATTATAAAAGATACCAGATATGGAAATAATTATATTTACTATTAAGTGTCCTTTGTTTTAGATGAAGGGATACAGTTCAAGGAATATTTTTGACAGTCCATATTTACAAAACTATTAGAGATTGACCTCAGAAGATAATTGACCTGAAAATGTAAACATAGGCATTTTAAAAGGTACTAAATGTAAAGTTTGAAATCAGTTTCTTTATAACCAATTAAGCAAGAAATAAGTGTTTGTAATATATCTTTTAACATGCTTTAAGTTCTATATACCCTCAGAAATAGAATCAGCTTTTTATGTTTTTTTATTTATTTTTTTTTAGTCTCTGACGTTAAGACTTCAAGATTATCCATCTTTGTCTCATCTTGTTGTTTATGTGCCATCTATTCATGGAAGTAAGGTAACAAATGGATTAAAGTTGTTATCGGAATGTTTTGTGGATACTCTGGCTAAATAAGTTATTTTTTGATGAATTCTTCAGCATAGTGCTTATCTGAAACAATGGCCTGTTTGATGATCCACCTAAGACTGTTAAATCATTAGGATCGTCTACTATAACTTGAACTAAGCAGAATAAACCCAAGTCTCTGTGTTTAAAGTGGGAACTAACTTTATAAATTAGTCTTTCAAAATCTATTCATTATTAAGTACCCTTTTATGTGCAAGACTCTGTGTCAGGAATTATAGGAGGCACACAAATAAGACATGAATCCGAATCTCAAAAAGCTACGTATTCTTGGGTATGGAGGGAGAAACATTTGGAAATGGAAGAGTGAGAATAAAAGAGGTACCCAAAAATATAATACAAATCAGAATATAGCAAATAAATGAAAAGTATAAAAAGGGAAAATATCTCTGAATGATGGAATGAGGAAAGGCTTTATTACGAGATGATATTTAAATTTGCCTTAAAATGTAGTTATGTTTTTATGGGTAGGATGAGCATTGTAGACCTGAGCTGTCCAATATGGGAGCTACTAGCACATGTGGCTATTTAAATTGCAAGTAATTAAAACTAATAAAATTAAAAATTCAGTTCCTTAGTTGTACTAGCCACATTCCAGTTGCTCAATAGTAACATCATTGCAGAAAGTTACCATGAACTGCACTGCTGGGACAAAGAAATCATGAAATCTAAGCATGGAAGCATGAAAGTGTTTGGAAAACAGTGAATAGTAATTTTAAAAAGATGGCCACCATGATGAGAATAGTAGTAGAAGAAAAGTCTGGGAAAGCAGTTCATGGTACTATGGAGGACCTCAGTTGGAAGATGCAGAACTTTATAGAATTCAGGAGTTAGTAGGCAGCTGAAGGATTTTCACAGTAATAGAAATGAGATCAGAGCCATTTTGGAAGATGAATCTATTTATGATGTACATGGATTAGAATCAGAGAGACGAGCTGCTACCTAAGGGATTATGAGGGTTTGAACTAGGGAAGTAAGAGTAGAAATAAAAGGATGGTGATTTTTGAGAGAAACTGTGGGGGGGGGGGGGGCGGAGCAAGAAGATGGAAGTAAAAGACCCTTTATTTCCCTTTCCATGTTTCACCCAACAAGCTTATCCTTCAGTATCTAACCTCAATGTTCCTGCTTAGTCTTTTCATGACTTGTCCCGGTAACCTCTTACTTCCATGACACCTTATTTATAACTTCTTTGGGGAATTATGCTGAATTACAATTTATTTATCTCTCTATTACTATAATCATATTGTGAATTCTTTGGGAGTAAGACCAAATAGATTTTATTCTACTTTGCATCCTTAACCTTTAGCAACTTCCTGCCATGTAAATCCTCAAAAAAATACTTCTTTAATGAGAAGTTGTTGAGATTTGAGGCCAGAACCATTAGGAAAAATTTAAAGATAAAGGGAAAAGGGAATGTAGTTGGGAGGTAACTCAAAGACTGAGTCTCACAGGTACCTTATAATGAATTCATTGTTTTGTTTTGTTTAGCTCTAGTAAGAGGTAATTCAACATCTTCAATTCTAGAAACCTCTCTTTAGGGATCCCTGGGTGGCGCAGAGGTTTGGCGCCTGCCTTTGGCCCAGGGCGAGATCCTGGAGACCCGGGATTGAATCCCACGTAGGGCTTCTGGTGCATGGAGCCTGCTTCTCCCTCTGCCTCTCTCTCTGTCGCTCTCTGACTATCATAAATAAGTAAATTTTAAAAAAATTTATAAAAATAAAAAATAAAAACCTCTCTTTAGGGTTTTCTTTTCTGTCTGGTAAGTTGGTTTTGAATGAATTTAAACATCTTTCCCAACCTTGGAAAGGCTCTGTCTGGTTTTTCCAAGAAATTAATGAGCCTTTCACAAATAGCCAGCCTTAGTGCCTAATGAATACTTAATGTGTCTTAATGGTCTTTGGAAAGTAACACTTGCTGACTCTATTGTTGCATACCCAGACTCACAAGGATGTTAATTTAGACCTTTTATAATTTCTACATATCTGTTTTAACCCATCATCAGGATACATACATTTAAGTAAACAGTTTGAAAATTTTTTGCAGTCAACTGACAATATAGTTTTCAAAATGTAAATACGGAATTATTTGTGTTTTTTTTTTATGACAGAAAACAAAATAATTAAGGCCAATTAGAGATAGACCCTTGAATTCTTAGGTACGGGTAGCATTTCTTTTTCTTCCTTTCTAGATAGGAAACCTTTATTCGAATCACTAGTTTGAAATAATTTTATACAAATAACTTCAGCTATCTGTAGATGAATGGCAATATGTCCATCTCCTAGTCTTGTAGTCTAGAGTATTGCAGATACATAATTTATAGGAGATTCTTAAATAGTAAGTGTAACAGAATCACATTTCTTTTTGACTTTGAAAGTATTTGGAAATTTTTATCTAAATCTCTAATTAATCTTGAATTAACCTTAATTCTTAATGCTTTGATCCATCCTTTAAAGGTCCCTAATTCTACAAACACCTAAAACTAACTGGAAGGAAACTGTGGTATTCATCAGCTATTGTAAAAGTGATCCTCCAGTGATTTACTATGTTAAGCTTGTTTATCAAATTTTCTTAGTTTAGCGTGGCTCTTTGAGTAATTGTTGCCATTTAAGTATAGCCAGAGTTAGAATATGATAGGTAATAACTTCTGCAAAGCTAAAATTTATTTATAGACTTTTATTTTCCACTCAAACATCAAGCAAAGATATTTTACCATAAGCATATTTCTATTTTTCCTAATAAGTCAATGTTTTATATTTTAGTTTGTTATAGATTGTGAATTCTTTAAAAAAGAGACGAGATCCATTCAGCTTCCTGTAACGCATCTTTTTTCCTTTGGTAAGTACTTTTGGATTTTTTTTCTTTTTAGATTTTATTTATTTATTCATGAGAGACACACAGAGAGAGGCAGAGACATAAGCAGGCTCTCTGTGGGGAGCCTGATGTGGAACTTGATCCCAGGACCCTAGGATCATGACTGGAGCCAAGGGTAGCCGCTCAACCCCTGAGCTACTCAGGCATCCCTGATTTTGGAAATCTTAAGAATTGCTTTTTTTTTTTTTTCTTAAGTAGGCTTGATGCCCAGTGTGGAACCCAGAGCAGGGCTTGAACTCAGGACCCAGGGTCAGGACCTGAGCTGAAATCAACAGTCAACTGACTGACCACCCAAGAACTATTTTTATTTTCAACAGAGTGCTGATTTGTTTTTGCTAGTCAGTTGCAATAATGGAGAGCCTCTAACATTAAGTATTGTGTATTTTATTTTATTTTATTTTATTTTATTTTTTAATTTTTATTTATTTATGACAGTCACAGAGAGAGAGAGAGAGAGAGGCAGAGACATAGGCAGATGCAGAAGCAGGCTCCATGCACCGGGAGCCCAACGTGGGATTCGATTCCGGGTCTCCAGGATCGCGCCCTGGGCCAAAGGCAGGCGCTAAACCGCTGCGCCACCCAGGGATCCCAGTATTGTGTATTTTAAATATAGTTTTTAGAATAACCATATGATGTGGTCCAGTGGTTTCTTATTTAACACTGGGACAGCAGTCATCTTCTGAGAAGTGAACTTTAACTTTCTCCCTAGTCATATGCATTTGCAAGTAATCATGTGTGTGTATCTGTGTATGTGTGTGTATTCTTCTATGAATTTATACTACATAGTGGCCCTTTTAATAAAATGTTATTATAAGGTATAAATTGCTATCTGCCCTATGAAGGTTTCAAGATTTTCTCTAAATATTTTTTACCATTTTTATTGTGGTAAAATACGTGTAACTAAACATACTTTTAAATTTTATTTTGGAAAAAATAATAAATAAATTTTATTTTGGGGACACCTGGCTCAGAGGTTGAGCATCTGCCTTTGGCTCAGGGCCTGATCCTGGAGCCCTGCGATCAAGTCTCACATCAGGCTCCCTGCATGGAGCCTGCTTCTCCCTCTGCCTGTGTCTCTGCGCCTCTCTCTCTCTCTCTCTCTCTCTCTCTCTCTGTGTGTGTGTGTGTTTCTCATGAATAAATAAATAAAATCTTTTAAAAATAATAAAATAAATAAATAAATTTATTTTGAAATGATTTTGAGCACTCAGAACAGTTACAGAAAGAGCAGAGTTCTCCTATATCCTTCACTCACTTTTACGTAAACAATACAGTTGTCAAAACTTGGAAATTAGTATTCATACAATACTGTTAATTAAACTGCAGGCTTTATTTGGTTTTCATCAGTTTTTCCACCAGTATTCTCCAGGTTCCCACTTTGTATTCAGTTGTCATGTCCTGTTCATTTCCTCTATCTTTGGTAGTTCCTCAATTTTTCCTTGTCTTTCATAACCTTGACACCTTTTGAAGAGTATTTGTCAGTTATTTTGTAGAATATCAAATACTTGGACTTGTCTAATGCTTTCTTAAGATTAGATTCAGGTTATGCATTTTTAGCAAGAATATCACTGGAGTTATGTGTACTTCTTAGTGTTTCCTGTGATTGGACTCATGTTGCCAAGTCTAATTCTAGCAGTGTTAACCTTGATTACTTGATTAACGCAGTGTCTGCCAGCTTCCACCACTGTAAATTTATTTGTTTCCTTTTTGTATTGGATAAATGTCTTGAGTGGGACCTACTTTGAGAATGTTTAAGTACCCTTTATCTTCAAAATAACCCACTAATTTTAGCATTCAGTGGTTCTTCTAGTCTGAGGCAATTATTACTGGTATTCTTTATTTATTGGAATTCTTATAAAAGCAAAGTTTTTCCTTCTCCATTTATTTACTTACTTGCCTTTTTTTTTTTTTTTTTTTTTTTTTACTTTTATGTCAGTATGACTCATGGGTATTTTCTTCATTGGATTATAATTTAATACTATCATTACATTTATTTCCTTAAGTTGTTCCAACTTTGGATATTGGGAGCTCATTTTAGATTGGCCCTTTGCCTTTTTTGACATGTCCCATCCTGAAAATATGTATTTTTTAATATTTCATTAGTGAAAAGAATCTGTTACTTGAGAGCAGAAACTTTCTTTTAGATTTTCACCCACTTTTTTTTTTTTGTTAAATATTCTAAGAGCAATACAGACATGACAAGTCAGAATCACTCATCTCATTAAAGTTAACAGATTCATAAATTAAGAGATCTAAGAAAGCATACCTTTTCAAAATTGGAAATACATACTTGACTTTTTAAAACATTATATTATGAATGTTCAGAGCTTATGGAAAGAGGTTAGGAACTTTAGGAGTTCATGCCTACATAACGGAAATGAAAACCTATAAACTCTTTTTTAATATTAAAAGTATATTAGCATTAGTTAAACATTGGTAAGCAATCAGTACTTTTTAAAAAAACTGTTTGGTATTATAAGTAATACAGTACTTTCAATTCAACAGGACTGTCTTCAAGCAAAGTGATATTAAATACAAGTGGTCTGTTTTATAATATAGAACTCCTAAACTTTGGACAGGTAATTATTCTGATTATAACAAGCATTTAATTTTACTTTACTATTTAGTTAAGCAAACCAATAAACTTTTGTTTTTTTTTTTGTCTTTGTGGTCAAACTCTTATTAGATATACCAGGCTTTTAAAATCAACGTAGTAAGCAAGTGCTCAGGAGTCAAAGGTAAGTGTATTTTCTGAGAAGAATGATATTGTCATTTGAATAATCGATAGATCTTTGCTTGAATTTTCTATAAAACTTGTTTATTTTATGTGAATTAAAATTAAATATATGATAGTAGAAAAGTTGTCTATCTTTCCAAGAGATTTAACATAGATCCTTTCTTAACACTAAGCATCTTCAACTATATCAGTTTAAATACCTACGTTTAAAAAATACTATGTATCCTTCTGTCTCATTATAGTAGTAATTCAGATTTAGCTTTTTTACCAGTTTCTTAATACTTCCCATATGGCCTAGTATCTATTTTAAGTCTTAATAGACATTATTTAATAATTTTCCATAATTTCTTATGTGATATAACTCTTACCGGTTATTTTTTATGAAATGAGTAACTATGTAGTTAGATATTATAATAGCTTATGTAACATTTAGTGTAACATAAGGTCAATAATGTATTTCCTTTATATTTTCACAGAAGAAATAACTAGTATCTATAAACTTCATATTCCTTGGTCTTATGAAGATTCACTAACTATTGCACAGTAAGTAAATGAAAGAATTTATCTTAAACTTTGGTTATTTTGAATAATACATATTCTGCTTGGTTTATTTAAATCAGTGCAATTTTAATGAAACTACTTAAGTGCTTTTTATTATTTTTTTATTTAAGTGCTTCTTAATAAAATGTAATTATCTGTTAGGTAGCACTGTGCTCATAAGATAATATTTTAAGATAATATAATATTTTTATCTGAATGATCTAGAATTTAAACCATATTTGCTTGGATCGTCACCCCTTCCTAGACTGTCCTCCAGTGCCTATCCTAGATGAAAGAGCATTCAAACAACTGTGGTACATTTGGAAAAGTGTCCATTTATAATAACATGTCTGACAACTGTCTTCCTCTTCATTGTTTCATTGTGTTGTGTGAGGACTGAGTGTTGGACAGAAAACAGCATTTTCTATTTGAGAATTAATATTTAAGTTATCTTTTCAGGGTACCATCTTCCACAGAAATTTCTCTGAAACTCCATATTGCTCAACCAGAAAATGACAGCCATGTAGCATTATTAAAAATGTATACATCTTCAGATTGTCAGTATGAAGTAAGTTGTATATTTACTTAATTTTTAAGATAATAATTATTGAATAAATAGCCAATATATTTTTATATTAGCCTTAGATATATGGCAATGTGGAAACCAATATAAATATGTAATAGACATTTATGGTGCTTTAAATATTCTCCCTTTTGCCTTTTAGCACCACCTGTATTTCCTTAGCTGAACCATTAAAAGTATACATCTTAAGAAGTAATAGAAATAAAAATTGATACTATAGATTAACCTTCTAGATTTGGAAGCCCAAAGTCCAGAATTCTGTATAAATTGAAGAACATCATGAAGTCAGCTGACATGACTTTACTGAAACAATTGACATGATATGTAATGGTTTCCAGCTCCACTGGATAAGTTGGAGAATCTTCTTTCCTTTTCACTAGCTTTTAAAATCTATTAGTCATTAATATGTGCAGTGCAGTATGCCTGCTGTGTTTGTTTTACAATCACAGTACATCTCTGCTCCAGAGAAGGGAAAATAGACTTGAAAAACATTTACTCTTAAGGATTCATGAACTACAAGATTGCCTCTGTATCAGACATCCCGGGTTCTAAGGATTCCAGATTTAAGAGATTGAAGTATACATTTTAATGGCAGTTTCTGGTTTATGTGAAATATCTTCCTTCTATTCAGTTCCTTTAAGCCAACCTTAGATATTTAGATTCTTCATTAGAACTTTCTTGGAGCGAGCTAGAATTGGTAGGACAGACTATAGGTAGCAACAAGTTTCAGTTGTACCTAAGCTATGAGTTATTTTAGATTTTGTGGAATTTATTAATGCTTTGGTATCTTGTTTTCTGTTTTAACACTGAAGGATCTTAAAAAAAAAAAAACACTGAAGGATCTTGTAAGGCTGTAATGGTTTTTAACATGTGCCTTCATATTTCTAATAGCAATAGTGAGAATTGCATTAATAATTTGGCTCCAAATACTGCACACTCTTAAAATGTTCATGTTTTTATAAGTACTTTATGTTTTTAAAGGTATTTTGAATAGTCATTTTATCATTTCCATATGAAATATGTATTTCCTTTTCCCAGACTTCCTAATATCAAAAAAGCTGTATTTATAATAGAGATAATTAATAATGAATTTCTTTTTAAAATATTGTTTTGGCTTAAATGTTACCAAATATCCTCTGTTTGTTTCTGATCTTATCTCACATGAAATTTATTTTTATGAAATTTACTTAGAAATGGCTTAGCTTAACTATACCTAGTGCTACACAGTAGTAGGTTTGGGATTTTAAAATATTAGTTATATGTAGATTAATTTGTGCTTAATTGTTCAGCAAACATATGTATAGCTTCTAGATTCAGTCATTCAATCATTTTCTTTAGCTTGCATGACCTGGTACTAAGATATTCTGGTTAATCAAATATTCTAGTTAGTAGAAGGTTACAATATGTACCATAGCATTCATCCAGTTGTCAAAAAATTAGAATCCAGGAAAATATACTGAACAATAAAACTACACTTCATATAAGTTAAAATTTGTTGTCAGAGGATTCTTACAAGACTCTAAGTGCATTTAGGTTGATTATTAAAAAATGAATGATTGTGCTTAGTGATGTGCAAAAGTGCTCAATTTAATAAAATGTGAACTAGAAGGTTTTAGGAGAAATAACCCTTTTTTTCTTTTAATGATTATTTTAAACTAGGTGACAGTTAAGACTTCCTTTTCACAAATACTTGGACAGGTAAGAGATTTCCGGTTGATTATTGATTGCCTTGTAAATAAGTATTATAAGGCAAGGGTTGTAAACTTTCTCTGGAAAGGGCAAGATAATAAAATATTTTAACAAACCAAATATCATCTCTTGCTCCTGCTACTACTACAGCTGCTTCTTTCTTTTTCATCTTTTTCCTTTTTCTGCTTTTTTCCCACTTTAATAAAATTGAAAAGCCATTCTTGGCAGACAAATCATAGTTGGCTACCCCTGGCTTTAAAGTGATGCTTTGATTTCTACAAGTGAGAGCTGATTCCTGATTCTCAAACAAATTAAGATATCATGTTGCTCATACTATACTATAATTCATAGTCTAGTAAAATTAGTAGGCTCTGTCTTATAAATGAACATTTTCAAATAACTTTTTATGTTGTGTGTGTTTAGTTTGTAAAAATAAGTAAATTATATTAAAAATAAACATGTTCAAATACTTTAAATCCTTTTGGGGAGTGTCTTTCTAATGTTCATAAGCAAATAATTTATCACAAATTATTTACAAAAATAATTTATCAAGTCATAGAACTTGATAGAAAGTGTCTTTCTAATCTTCATAAGCAAATAATTTATCACAAATTATTTACAAAAATAATTTATCAAGTCATAGAACTGCGAAAGTACACTAAACATCATTATAATTTGCAGAATTGTGTAACCTATGCATAAATAATAATGATTAGTCAGAAAAATTATATAATAGCTTTAAAATTCATTAAAATTTTATTGTGCCTTCTATTATTTTTATTTTATTTTTTGCCTGTTGTGTTTTATAATCCAGGCATAGCAGAATTTTTAAAGTTTAAGTCCTTTAATTCTATAATTTATAAAACTTACAAATCAAAATTAAATCAAAATTTTTATATGCATTATCTCATTTGATTCTCACAACAACCTTGTGAGAACTAGATGGCGATTATTATTAAATTTGTGAATATTAGAAAATTAGAATTTCGTGTGTAAAATATGCTACATTAGAAAGAGAAGGTTAAATGTTGGTATAAATTGGAAAATAGCATCATGGATAGTTATAATACATTCTCTAGCTTGTTAAGGAACCTTTTTTAAGAAAAATTATAGGGGATAGGTGGAATAAAAGAAAAATTACATCTTGGAATATAGGGAAAGAATTGATGCTATTGTATTTTTAGTATGTCCAAAAGGCATGTTACTGTACACGGTGGTAGGGCTCAAGATACAACATACTGTCTTATCCATATAATCCCTGGGGCTCATAATTCAGGTTAGAGACAAGAAAAGTCAAGTTAGCTTGATACTTGATAGCCAGGCATAATTATATGTCCACCAGAGGAGGACATACTAATATTCTTGTTTAGGCAAGGAAATTAATCTAAAAAAAGAAGATATGTAGATATTATAGGATCAAAGGTGGGTACTTTTTTAAATGTCAAAGAATTTGTGGTAATTAAGTCCTTCTCAAATTACTGAAAAGATAGAAGATATTCTTTATGTTTGTTTAAAAATTTAGCTTGAGAACAGGGGAATAAGTTGAAGATGTATATATTATTCATCTTTTAAAAATAATACATATTTTCAAAGTTGCTGATTCAGTCAAAGAAGTGGCTCAGTGGTTGAGCATTTGCCTTCAGCTCAGGGCATGATCCCCGAGTCCCGGGATCGAGGACCACATTGGGGTCCTTGCAGGAAGCCTGCTTCTCCCTCTCCCTTTGCCTCTCTGTGTCTTCATGAATAAATAAATAATGTTTTTTTTTTTAAAGAAGAAGAGGACTGAGAAGAATAAAGAGAAACCACTTGAGAAAGTCTTTAGCCTTTGATTAGACAATTTTCCATCAAATTAATTTTTTTCAGAAAAGGAAAGAAAAAATATTTACATATTCTTTAGTTACTCTAATGAAAGAGGGCAAAGAAACCAGAAGTTACTTTCTCAAGAGAATTATATGAACTAGTAAATCATTTCTATGTAAGAATGAAGTGTAATATTGCCCAATCCTTAGATTTTAAGAGAAACTAGAAACTGAATTTTTAGGTAAACATTTTTTAATTTTTTAATGATCTAATTTGAAATGTAAAGAAATACTGTGCCAAATACTAATTTGAAATGTAAAGAAATACTGTGCCAAATACTAACACAAATGAAGCATGTCTACAATTTGAATGTGTTCCTTGGTGGCCAGTTTGATTATTGACTTAGTCATATCTTATATGAGTTGTATCTGTGGCCCAGTAGAATACTTAATACTCATAATAATGACAGTCATTAATTACAAAGAACCCGTTATGTTCAGAATACTGTATAGGAACTCTTAGAAGATCTCCAAAAACAGTAAAGAGTATTAAACGATGATAACAGCTAATATTTTCTGATCACTGTACTGTGCCAGTTACTATTCCAAAAGCTTCATACAAATGAACACATTTAAGCCTGAGACTCCCTGTGACATAAGTGCTATTTATCTCCATTTTATAAAGGCACAGAGAGGAGGGGTAAGGTAGCTTGCCCAAGGACACAGCTAGTGAGAGGAAGAGCTGTAGTCCAAATACAGAAGTCTGACTCTAAGCTTGCTATGCTGCTTAATTTTTCCTTCTATACTTTTTTTTTTAATTTATTTATATCCATGGGGCTCCATGTTGGGCTCAGTCCCATGACCCATGAGATCTTGACTTGAGCTGAAGTCAGACACTTAACTGACTGAGCCACCCAGTCAGTTAAGTGTTGAAACCCCTTTTTCTGTACTTTTGATTAACTGAAGTATGTTATATATCTTCTACAATGTCATTAGCGGGCATTGAGTGTCATTTAGTAATAGGTAGAAAAATGCCTTTTTCCCTTTCACTCAATTTCTCTCCCTCCACTCAAAGCTGTAATTATAAATCATGAGTGGGGGCTATAAGTTTGAGTCTTTTTAATCAGTTTTATCAATCAGTCCATGAAGGAGTTTCAGGGAGACCTTGGACTTCTTGAAATTTTACACACCATTTTGTGTAAATATGCATTTCCATTGCTTTCATCAGATTGCCAGGAGTCTATACATTTTCTTAAAAATTCTGTGGAATGTAGAACATGCCTTAAAGCAAATTTCCTTTTAAAATGTTAACATTGGGAGGCCTGGGTGGCTCAGCAGTTGAGCATCTGCCTTTGGCTCAGGGCATGATCCCAGGTCTGGGGATCGAGTCCCGAATCAGGCTCCGTGCGAGGAGCCTGCTTCTCTCTCTCTGCCTATATCTCTGCCTCTCTCTTTCATGAATAAATAAATAAATCTTTAAAAATAAATAAATAAATAAATAGTTAACATTAAAAGTTGCTTACAGAACAGAATAAGTCTTTGTTAAAACTTTAACATTAAAAGAAGAATCTAACGCTTTCTTTTTGTTTTATATTTTTATATGAATTGAATCAGCTGAGGGTTACCTGGGTGGCACAGTCAGTTGAGCATCTGACTCTCACTTTTGGCTCAGGTTGTGATCTCAGGGTCCTGAGATCAAACCCCAAGTCGGGCTTGTGCTCAGCACGGAGTCTGATTGAGATTCCTCTCCCTCTTTTGCTGCCCCTTCACACCTCAAATAAAATAATTTTTTAAAATAGAAATTGGATAGCTGATAGAATGACTTGAAGCACTATAACATAATGGTTATGAATTTAGGGTCTGGTTTAAATCCCATTCCACAAGATTTCCAGAGACAACAAAGAACCTAAAAGCTTAATACCGGCATATCTCAGGAAAAGGGTCCTTAGAACACTGGTGCTTTTGATAGATGCAAGTGAAAGATTAGAAGTGAGAAGATGAAGAGGAGAAATAGTATCTCAAGCTCTTGAGAACTTAAACTGTGAGAGAGTTGGGGGAAACGTGGTAAATGGAGAGGGGAGTGGAGTGAAGGGAAGGTATTGTCTTGTTCAGGGTGAGAGACTTAAGTTTGTTTAAATGTCAGTGGCTGGGTGAGTAAATGAATACCCTGGAATTTCATTACATCATCTCTCCTTGAAACTCCCAGACTTTGAAGTTAAAGCACCTAATGATACTGAAGAGTGATTTCACACTTCAGTAAAATCATTAATGAGATTATGACAAAGTCACTGCATTGTAAACTCTTTTGATGGTGCTCACCCTTAAATTCCTGGTGTTGAGCACATTGAGCCCAGTACATAGGTGATGCAATTTCTAAATTGGGAAAGATTGGAATAAATTATATTTTCATAGTCATTTATCTATGAATAATTTTTAACTTTAGTTCCATTTACATAAAAACACAGCTCATTTGTTCCCCCTTTTAAAAGCTCCCCATTGAAGAAATATTGACAAACTTGTACCTTGTAGTTGTGAGTTTAGTTCCAGACCACCACAAATATTATAAAAAAGTAAGTCAAATGACATACAAGTACATATAAAAGATATATTTTTACTGTATTGTAGTCTGTTAAGTGTGCAGTGGTATTATGTCTAAGAAAACAATGCATACCTTAATTTTTAAAACTTTATTACTAAAAAATGCAGACCATTATTTGAGCTTTCCATGAATCATAATCAGTCATCCTAGATCATAACAAATACAATAAGTAAAGGTTTAAAATATTGCGAGATTTCTCAAAATGTGACACAGACACGAAGTGAACAAATGGCTTCTGAAAAAATGGCACCAATAAACTTGCTCAATGCCAATTGCTACAGACCTTCAATTTGTTAAACTTTAAATCCATCTATAAAGTAAGTACTGTTATTATCCCCATATTATTGATGAGGACAGTAGGAGTTAACAGGTAACTTGCTTGTCTGTTTTAATGTTTTGGGTTTTTTTTTTAAGATTTTATTTATTTATTTTAAAGAGAGTGCATATGTGTGAGGGGCAGAGGGAAGGAGAGGGTAAGAATCTCAAGCAGACTCTGTGCCCAACATGGGGCTGGATCCCACCACCCTGGGATCATGACCTGACCCAGAATCAAAGGTTGGATAATTAACTTACCGAGCCACCCAGGTAACCCCTTACTTGTCTGTTATGTTTTTAATTGTGCAAGTTACTTGGTGCTCCCTGTGCTTGAATTTCTTCATCTGTAAAATAGGGATAAGAATTCTCTCAAAGGATTTTTGGGAGGAGAGTATGACACAATGCATATAAAATGTTCAGTATCGTGCCTGGAACATATTAAATGCTCAATAAATGTACCTTGTAAAAAAAAAAGCTTGTAGTAAATGCTACTCAATTGTATATTTCTTTTTTTTATGAAAAATTTTATTTTATGAATTTTATGAAAAATTCTAGTTATATGTTTCTAAGATGCTATATGTTCTTAGTATTTATTTTACTTAGAATTTTGATACCTATCACTGGAAGTACCTCTGTGGCCATGTCAGGAAAGATATAAAGTGAAGAAAGACATTTTTATTTCATGTGAAAGTACATTTATTTCGTTAACATGAATATTCAAAAGTTGTCCTTTGATTTGCCTGTTTTCTAGGTAGTTAGATTTCATGGTGGAGCTCTTCCTGCTTATGTTACATCTAGTATCCTTCTTGCTTATGGGGGGCAGTTATACTCTCTTTTCTCAACAGGTAAGAATGTTTCTATTCCTCTTATCTCTCTTCATTCCTTTCTTCCTCAGTTTCCTCTTTCTTCCTCAGCTTCATTACTACCTATTCATCCTTTGTGTAGTTAAATTCATCACCCATCTCTCGAGTGTACAGAGGTTTGAAATCCTCTTGTTTGTTTTTTTTTTTAATCTTCTGATTTTAGGAGATCCCCAAGAAGATTCCTTATATGGATTTTCCATTTTATACTTTTCTGTCTGAAGTTTTTTCCCTCTATTCTAAGGATATCCTAAGAGGTAGAGTCTCACTGATGGCGATCGTTCCCCATTCCCACATTAATATAGTGTCAAGCACATAGTAGGCATTCAGTGTAATGTTTGGGCTATTTCCACTGTATCAGTTAGATCCTGGGACACCGAATGGAATAATTGAGAGTTTATTATAAATGAAGGGGCTATTTCAAAGGTATATCTAGGGTTAAGGGAAATGACTAAGTGCCAGATTAGAGCCATCTGATACTCCCCAGTACCAGGGCAAGGGAGTGAGGAAGGCTAGAGAGCTATTGGAGAAGGCAGCATGACTGCAGCTGCAGCCACTGTCAGCCTGTGGCTCAGGAGGAAGAAAGGCCAAGAAATATATCCACTAATGTTCTTTCTGCGTATCAGTGTCTATCTTTACTGAACCTAAGTCAGCCTCCCAGAATTCAGAACAGAGTAAGAGTGGATCTGGAAAGGCAAATACAGAATATATGCTGCATTGGACAAAACCTTCCCTGGAGTATAGCAATGAAAATAGTTTCCCAGGAGCCTACTTTGTAAAGCCCTCGTACACTTGTTGGGCTCGGATAGTAATCAAGGGAGACGAGATAGGAAAAGAGAGTGGGATCAAAATGTATAAAAGCTGTACAAAAATACACTCCAGAATTTCCATTTTGCCAAAACCTTCTGCACTAACTCATTCCATTTCAATGACTTATAATTTTGAGTCTGCCTTTAGTATTCATTTTAACCTTCATATACTGCTCTTGGGAATGTAAAATACTGTAGATGCTTTGGAAAGTAGTCTGGCAATTACTCTATGACTCAGGAACTGTACTCCTAGGTATATATATCCAAGAAAAATATAAACATATACCCACAGTAAACTTGTGCACACATGTTCACAGAAGGACTATTCATAATATCCAAAAGGCAGAAACAACCCAAATACCCATCAGCTGACAACATGGATGCCAAGTAAAGGAGCCAGTCACAAAGGATCATATATTATATGATTTCATTTATAGGAAATGTTAAGATTAGGCCAGGCCATAGCGACCGGAAGTAATTAGTTGCCTGGGAATAGGGAGACATTGGAGGTGACAGTTAAGGGGAACCGAAGTTTGTTTTGGGAGTAATGAACATGTTCTAAGGCTGATTGTGGTGATGAAGGCATAACTGAATATACTTAAAATCACTGAATTGTGTATTCTTTGAATGGTTGTGTGGTATGAGAATTATATCCCAATAAAGTTGTTTTTTTAAAAAAAAAAAATCACCTTTGGAGCTTTGTGAAAATACAAATGATGAAACCTCATCTTTGGCTTCCTGAAGTTGTTTCACAAATGATTGTGTACCCTTATATGAGATCTACTGAATTGAAGTAATTTTAATCTGTGAAGAGAATCTTTATGATAGTAATGACCCTTGCTTTTTCTGACATGAAATATGTTGCTCTTAGAATGCAATCAGTGTATAACATGACTCATACTTCATTACTATGAATTCTTTATTACATACATATATTTTTTTAATCACCAGGTCATTGCTTAGAATATACTATTATGTTGGATAAAGAAGCCAAACCCTACAAAGTTGATCCTTTTGTAATTATGATTAAGTTTCTCTTGGGGTAAGTTTTATTATCTGTGATAATGATTTTAATTATTTCATATATATGAAACATATTTGGCCCCATAATGAAATAGAAATATTCATATAAGTATATTAATTGTCTTGTTTTATTAAATGAGACTTTTAGGCAGAGGACTGATAGGTATATCAAACTTTACTTTAATACTATAACCATTTCAAAAGTAATTATAGAAATTATATATATATCAATTATAGAAATCATATATATATCAATTATAGAAATCATATATATATGTATCAGTTATAGAAACTTAGTCTGTAAATATACCAATTTATATATTTCTCTTTACCACACTTAATATCCCATTTTAAATTTATTTACATTTTATGTTTTTTGCTTAAAAACCGATATACTTAGATCTCTTCAGTCGTTACAACTAGCTGTTGGTTTTCTAACTTAAAAAAAAAAAAGATCCCTTATTACTTCATTACACGGATCAAGAGAGAGCAGTGGAACTGCTTTGAGACTCAGGACTCACACCTTGAAGATCAGTAGACTCACTTGGAAGATAAATGACTAGTTCTCTGCAAGGACTTGAAATTTGTCTTTAAGTATAATTATGAATTGAGTATCATAGAACTTTGGGGACTCAATTGAATGGTCAGACACCTCAGATATTAAATACTTGAATGTCAATTGTTGATTTTTCTTTTTGCTTTTATTATATGTTTTCTTTTATCCACAGATATAAATGGTTTAAGGAGTTATGGGATGTGTTAATGTTACCAGAATTAGATGCCATCGTTTTAACTAGTCAGAGCATGTGTTTCCCCCTTGTATCCTTGATTCTCTTTCTGTTTGGAACATGTACTGCCTACTGGGGTGGCCTGCTTTCTTCTACATCCGTGAGACTCCTATCTTCATTGTGGCTAGCTTTGAAAAGGTAAAGAATGATTGAAAGCTTTCTTACTGCTCTTAAGGAAAAAAGTATATTTTGATAGGGAACCTCAAAATTAATTTGCTTTCACTAAATTATAATTTCTAAGGAAAGATGTATAACTAGCAAAACATGGGTTAGTGTTCAAAGTTATGTCTTCATCAGATAGTCATTTAGGGATGCCTGGCTGGCTCAGAGGAGCATGCAACTTTTAATCTTGGGGTTGTGAATTTGAGCCCCGTGTTGGTGTAGTGATTACTGAAATAAAAACTTTTGTTTAAAAAAAAGATAATCATTTATTGCAAGTTAAATGCTACATTTGAATTTGACTTTAATGCCAAAAGTTAATCAAAAAAGTATGACAGAGAGGTGCCTTGCTGGCTGAGTCAGTAGAGCATGCTGCGCTTGAAAACTCAGGGCCATGAGTTCAAGTTCCACATGGGAGTAAACAAACAAAAAAGTGAGAGATTACAGAAGTATTTTTAGTTTTTATGATTGTGAATCTTTCCAAGGAGGAAGCATTCCTCTGACAATGCTTTTATACATTGACATTCAGTCAAACCTGAGAGCAAGAGAATTCCAATCATGCTACTTAAGGTCAGATTAAATGAAATGCATAAAAACTCCAAAAACATTGCCTAGAGTTTTATTTTAGGCCAAAAGGCATAATTTGAAGTTACTGGTAGGCTTTTCTGGTGAAGCCACTAACCTCATTTCCACTGCCGCTGCTCCTCAGAAGACATGTTATGTGATTTCCTGTCGCATAGGGGATTATGGTGTGATGTTCCTTCACCCTTCTGAGGTGCTTCTGACACATTAATAGCATCTTAAGTCTGGTGATCTCGAGACTTTAAGAAATAAAAACCCGTTTTCCCTCCTATCAAGATCAGAAATGTATGGCAGAGGGCCTACAATTAATGATTATTTTTAGTAACATATTTTTCTAACTTGTATGAATATCAGCCATAGTGTATCTAAATGGAAGAGGAGCTATCACAGTGTATTACAGACTATACAGTCAAATACGTGTCATCCCTTGACGTTGTGACAAAATATTTTACTGCTTCCCTTACAGTACTTGCATATTGATAAATAGGAGAGCCTGGAAGAGTATACTGTATTACTTTCTTCTTATATGTGACTGTATAAACAACTGTTAATACTTTTAAAAGCTTTATTCTTGTTTTTTCCAGGCCCTCTGAACTTCCTAAAGATATCAAGATGATATCAGCAGATTTGCCCTTTTTGACAGTTGTTTTGATCATAGTTAGTTGGACAACTTGTGGAGCATTTGCCATACTTCTTACTTATCTTTATTATGTGTTTAAGGTATGTCACATTACTGAAGTCAGAATGACTGGGCTTTCTGTCAGGCAGACGTAGACTTTCCTATAGGTATTGTTAACAAAAATTTTCATTACAGCTGCAGCAACCTGTTATATAACAGGTTTAAATGTAGAAGTTATTTTTAACATCTTAGTTATTTTACATCTTAGTTATTTTTTAACATCCTAGTTATTTAAAATATATGGTCAACTGTAGAGCTGAAATTGTCACTCTGAGTTCAGTTAGTTTTTTAAAAAGCAAAAGAAGGGGAAAAGATAATAATCTGTTTCACATTGCTTCTTGCTCTTGCAGGTAATGTTAACTTTTTAAGAAAATTTTACTAGAGCAGTTTTTATTCATATCTCCCTTTGAACGTGGGTAATAGACAAAAAGTTATGTCAGTGGGATCAAGCTACCAATTGTGCTGACATAATGTAGAATGTTACAGATGTTGCTGGAGAATCAGAAGACAAGAATAAAAATAATTAGGCTGATAATTTTACTGAGGAAGTAAAAAAAACTTCAAGAAGGCTGATAGCTTTGCAGGAAAATCTAGGTTATACAACTGCATACTCTCCAGATTAATCTTCTGTAAAGACAGTTAATACCAGAATGGATAATCATTTTTTTTCTTTTTTAAACAAAGGTTGATTTACATCTGCTTTTAACCTGTACCTTATAGATTATTCTCAATTTTCCAAAGGAAATTTATGTCCAGAAAAATCTATTTACTACTTTGATTTATAAATATAATATTTTTAGCTTTTTAAAGTGGATATTTCAAATAATTGAACCAATAAGCAAAACTTTCTTATACTTAGCTTAAGCAAATCTAAGAAATTAAACTTTAAGATTTTCTCAGGTTTTTATAAACATTTCACCACTATATATAATATGAGTTCTGATGTTCAAAAATTGAGAATACATAAGACATGTTAAATTCTTTATACTGCACTGAAGGTAATCAAGTATCTTACAGGACACTAAGTTGCTACAGCAAAGCATTAATTAAACATAGGTTCTTAGAATATAGAAGATAAAGGATATCCTGGACCCATCATACTCTGGAAGTTTGTATTTTGTTTTTTGTTTTTTTCTGTTTTTTAATCCATAATAGTAAGCATTATAGTTATTATTTACCTTTTCTGAAAGAATATTTGTAAACGTTTAATGTACTTTTAGTTACTTAGATTTCTTTAAATTTCAGATTATGGTGCTTCTCAATTATAATAAAAATGGTTGTTTTTTGTTTCAAAATAAAAGTGAGATTAAACAGGTTTTTTTTTTTCCTAGATTGTTCATCTGCAAGCCAGCCTAACAACTTACAAAAATAGCCAGACTGTGGTAAGTTTTATTTTCAAAACTCTACATCACTTTAATATAAAAGAACACAGGGAAATAAAAAGGTTTGTTTCTTTTAAGTTAGGATTTTGCACTGTTTAAAAAAGATGTCATTAATTTAAGTAACTTTAAGAAAAGTGAACCTAATAAGACTAATTTTAATTTTTTTTTTTTTTTGAGAGAGTGTGTGAAAGTGGTAGAGGGGAGGGGTGAGTGGTTGGGACTGGCAGAGGGTAAGGGAGAAAGAATCTTAAGCAGGCTCCATGCCCAGTGCTGGAGCCAGATGAGGAGCTTTATGACCTGAGCCAAATCAAGAGTTGGATGCTTAACTGACTGAGCCACCCAGGCACCCCTATCTAATTTTAATTTTATCTTTATCAGTACTTATGTCATATTTATTGTTACAAGTTATCTTTGAAATTTTAAGTAATTATTTAGAGAATATAGTCTTAGCAATGGAAACAGCAAGTCAAGGAATAAAAATTTTATAACTAATAACTTTTAAGTTACTTTGAACAAGGTTAATTTCAATATTTTATATCAGTTTGGTAATAGAAAGATGTGTTTACTTAGCTATTAAATAATTGAGTATGATTCTAAGTAACAATAAATTTTATTATCTTAGTATTTTTACTTTATTGCTTTGTAGAATCCCAAACACTCTAGAAGAAGTGAAAAAAAATCAAATCACCATAAAGACTCTACAATACACCACCTTCGTTTATCTGCCAATGATGCTGAAGATAGTCTTCACATGCACAATACTGTGATTAACTTATTAACATGGATTGTATTACTCAGCATGCCATCTTTAATTTATTGGTTAAAAAATCTCAGGTGTGTTTGATTTATGTAATTATAATTTATGTGGTTCAAACAATAAATATCTATAAGTAGAGACTAACCAGATTCCTAGTGATCCATAAAACTTCCTCAAGAATAGGAAGCTATATATCACCTGAAATTTATTTTTAATGCACTTACATTTTTTCCCTTACTACAAGAATATAAACTTTGGGACTATAAGCTTTCTCAAAATCTGCTCAAAGGAGGGAATTGTATTTTATTTATTTTAGCTTTAACCTTCTGTGAGTCTAATACATATGAAACTGCTTTATTTTCTTGACTTAAGGTATTGATAATGCTAGTGCTTTAAGTATTTTTCAATTCAAGATCAATTTTGTTTTCTTAAATTTGGGAGGAAGAAAATACATTTAAAAAGATTAGAGATAATGAAAAAAAGTGTACTTTTCAACTGAGTATCAAACATTGAACTAAAATAAACAACCACCTATTTTACTACTGAAAACCATTATTTGCCTTGCCATGTGATAATTGTTCTAGGTTAAATCAGTGTGAAAATTCTCTCTAAGATTATTTCTAGAATATTTAATTATTGATAAATATTTTTTAGAACAGAAGAGGTGTATTTTTTTTTATTTCCCTCATGATCTAAAATTCATATCTATTCATGGGTTTACTTAGGGAGGGGGCTTCCCGGCTAGAACAGAAGCTCTTGAGGACTGGAGACAAGTCTGCACAGCATAGGGACTCCATCAGTATGTTAGATGATTGCTTTTTCTCTTCAAGCATTTTTCCAAGAAGACTCTGAGCTCCGTGCTTTGTGGTCAGAGTGGACTCAGGTTTTGGGGTCTGAATGGTGGGCTGGTCTCCACTCAGCTGCTTAAACCTCCGGTGGAGCTGCTCGACCCGGGCTGGCGGCAACTGCGCAGCACGCGGGGACAGCTGAGTCGCGGGTTCCCTTTTTTTTTTTTAATATTTTTTATTATTTTTTTTAATATTTTTTATTAAGGGCTATAAAAATATCCAGAAAGATAAATAAATGTGATGCAATGATATATGTCCTATTATGAAGAACTTTCTTGCAGTACATTGTTTTTCTTCACAATGGCCTTCAAATCACAGGAGGCAGTGATTCCTGCTATTTCCTCTTCTTTTATTACACACTGCAGAATTTCTGAATCAGTATCCCGCCCTTAGTCTTCTCATTTATAAATCAAATTCATTTTCAATCCATTGTTTAGAGAGAGCGTATTTTCTTCTGTTCCACAAAGAGGACTTTTGTTTTCATAATTGGGTCATAATGTAAGAGAGTGAGTTTCTCCCATAGTCGGCTTCTCTTAGGCCACCTCATCCAAGTAATAATTGATCACCTACTCAAAACGGTTTTTAGAGATAATATAAAAATTTCAAATTATCTAAATAATGGAAGTTTTTTTCTTGAACAAAGTTTGATAAGTTATATCAACAGGATACCAGATGCTAATATCCTTTCTTTGTCCCTCATTTTAGTCAAGATCCAGATTTTTATTCACAGGTTTGGGAAGAAATTATTTGAGGAGCACAAATTTATGATTTTGAAAAACTGTAGAGGTCTTACTCTCCATAAATGCCAGAGATGAGAATTTGGATTTCTAAAAATAGGGGGCAGTTGCTTTACATAAACCTTCATATTCTTTTTCCTTTTTTTTTTTAACTAGAGCAAAGTTAACATATTTTAAATAATGTATTTTATAAAAACATTTCTATATAGACTTTCAGGCATATACCTATTATTAAGAGGAAGTGCTTCCATATTTAATATTTTCATTTCCTATAGTAGTTTCTGAACAAAATTCCCCACATAAAACCTTAGGTATAAAGATGATCTATAGCAAAAGTTATTTATCAAAGATTTCATGGCTATTTAGAGCTCTCATATCTATAGAATATTGTGAAATGTATTTAATTTGATTCTGATCATTTAAAATAATTGGGTGTGCTTTGTTGATTTATGGGTTTTGGTTTTTTTTTCTCTTTGTTATAGGTATTACTTTAAACTTAATCCTGATCCATGTAAACCTTTGTCATTTATCCTTATTCCAACTATGGCAATTCTTGGAAATACTCATACTGTTTCAATAAAATCCAGGTATAATAGTTTAATCTTTTTTTCTCACCTCTCTTCCTAATCTTAATCACCCTTTTTTTATATATATCTGAAACATGTTCTTTATGTCTAAATATTTTGATTATTCCTAAAGTTAAAGCTGTAATTGTACAGTGTTATGATGTGTATACAGATATAGTTTATATGCAAGTATAGGGATCCCTGGGTGGCGCAGCGGTTTGGCGCCTGCCTTTGGCCCAGGGCGCGATCCTGGAGACCCGGGATCGAGTCCCACGTCAGGCTTCCGGTGCATGGAGCCTGCTTCTCCCTCTGCCTGTGTCTCTGCCTCTCTCTCTCTGTGACTATCATAAATAAATAAAAATTAAAAAAAAAATAAATTATATGCAAGTATATTTGTTTCCTTAATTATGAGTTTTACTTGTTAGGATACAATAATATTGTTGGTTTCTTTAAAAATTTAGCCCTTAAAAGATAAGATGTCTAATAAGATTTGTTTCCAAAAAGTACAGAGGAGTGAAGTGGGTAGGATTATAGGTGAAGTAAGATAACTTGATACCATGTCATGGTATCATGTCAAGGCCATGACTTGATACCTTTTGAAGTTGAGTAATATATATGAGGTACTGTTCACTTATATCTATGTTTAAAGTTCTCTGTAATAAAATTTGGCTTTTCATTAGGCTGGTTCAGTTGTTTGCTCTAGGAGCCTGTTTTCAGTTGATTCTGGCAGCTGTTTGCAGATATTCTAGAAGGAAGCAGACCTGTGGTTAAATCTTGGCTCTGCCATTTAATACCTCTATGTCATTAGACAAATTTCTTAACCCTTCTTATCCTTAGTTTCTCTGTTTTCAGAGTAAAATGTAAGAGTCTGTTCTAGTAGTATTTTTTCTTCTAAAGAGATTTAGTGTCTTTTTTTTTTTTATTTACGATAGTCATACAGAGAGAGAGAGAGAGAGGCAGAGACACAGGCAGAGGGAGAAGCAGGCTCCATGCACCGGGAGCCCGACGCGGGACTCGATACCGGGTCTCCAGGATCGCGCCCTGGGCCAAAGGCAGGCGCCAAACTGCTGCGCCACCCAGGGATCCCAAGATTTAGTGTCTTAACATTGTTTCTGTTAGGGCTTTAGGGTTCCTTTTTTATTTGATTAAGTTTCTTTGTCTTGTTGCTATTACAAATAGGGTTAAAATATTTCTGTAGTTATGTCTTAGTAAATCTTGATTATTTTTGTAAGGATAAATTTTTAGAGGTAGAATTGCTGAATAAAAGTCCAACTAATATTTCTCTGTTGTTAAAATTTAAAAGACTAAACAAAACTGGTAATTTATTTGATAGAAATATTTTTCTCTAGCTAAAATGTGGCTTATATTGACATTTTCAAAAATTATAGGCAGTTAAATTCATTATATGAAAAATTACTTCATTTAACATCATTTAGAACACTCTCAAAACTATGTAAAAGATCAACATATTCTGGTTTTACCTACAATGTAGTTTATGTAATGTACATTTCTCTGTTTCTTTACAGTAAATTGTTGAAGACTACTTCACAATTTCCACTTCCTCTGGCTGTTGGTGTAATTGCTTTTGGGTCAACACACTTATACAGGGTTCCGTGCTTTGTTTTCATTCCTCTTTTACTCCATGCATTGTGCAACTTTATGTAAGATTGGATTTAAGGAATGATAAAAATAATTTATACCTTTAGGGGGTCAGTAATAAGAAGGAATGCACAGATTCATCAGTGTGGACAGCAGGATCCTTTGGAGAAGACCAGTCTATTTTTACAATATTGAAAATAGGAAATTAGTTTTATAATGCTTGAGAAAGTAGTTTGAAGCATGATTTCGTTTTGTGGTATGGCAACTGCGTACTAGTCATTTTTGAAAAATTGGTAAAAACGTATGGTGGCCAGTTTTTGAGGACTTCTGCTTATCAGCTGTTCTGCTTGATTGGCCATACTGAAGATCTTCTAAATACTCAGTAAATGTAGCATTGCTTGTAATCTCAACTCAAGCATTCTGCTCATTTCATCAAACTTTCCTGAAAAGTCGGTTACTTTGTATTTGCTACAGCATGCATATTAAGAAATCAGTCTTAAAAGATGAATGAAAAAGATGAAATTCACAACTGTTTGATTTCTCAAAAATGAAATAATTTCAAAGTGTCTTTGGTCAGTTTTTGGCAGCCACAGTGAACAAGGCATTTTTTAAACAAAGATTAAAATGCAACTTTTAATTTTAAGGAGACATGTTTTCTTGATAAGATTGAAAAATATAATTTAAACTCAAAACTTGATGAAATTTTCTCTCTCCTTTTCAAATTCAGATCTTATTTTGTATTCTTGGTGAATATCAGGAGACTATTAAAGAAATCTTTGTTAAATTTAAAGAAAATTGTCCCAGGTATTTGCTTACTGGCATTGGAGTAGTACAGTTGTTCAGTATAGACCATTTTATTTAATTCATTGACCCATGGTTGCCAAAAGTGCCTAATATCATGATGGATTGTTAAAATAACAAGATTCCAGTGGTCAGAAAAAAACTCTAGGTTTGCACAATTTTTGTCTACCATAGGAAAAAATCAGCATAACCAAGCGGTGTACCACATTTGATATGTAAAATTATACTATTAATGGAATAACCAGCTGTTGCCCATTAATAGCATAAGTATAAACAGTATACGTAAATAAATTGGCAGTTTTAGCCATGAGTTTAACAATGGCATCTTAATTTGCCAAGGTGATTACCTTGGTTTGACAGAAAAGACAGTAATACTTCTATTTCATTTCAGACTTCAGCTCACTTTTAGCTACAAAAGAGCAGGTAATGGCGCTAAGCATCTTTGCCTTAAGGTAGAATAAACTCAGGCAGAAGTATACTTGGCTCATAGAGCCCTTCGGAACTTTGGATGTGTATGCTCTAAAGACCCAAACCTTTTAAGTAAAGCCCTTAAATCCCGGTAATACTTGTGGACTTTTGTCCTCGTTAGTACCCAGGAATGTCCTAGAGTACCAGATTCATTTTATCACCATTGCCTCTGGATTCCATTACGGCCTCTCAGCTGTTAACTGCCTGTAGAGGATTACCCCCACTTCATTGCCTGTAGAGAGTTACCTCACTTCTCTTCTCAGTTATTCCTCAGGTCCTTGCTGCTCTGGCATCAGTCGAAGAGGGTGTCTGTACTGTCTGTGAGGGTTATCAGTTTGATTTCATTGTTTTCTCTTCCAACCTCATTCCTACTGTTCAGTATTTATATTTTCACTTATGGAGATCATTAAAGGGAAGTGATAACCTCAGAGTAGACATGGCTGGCATTTCAGGCTCTTGTTTGTTTGAGAGAGGCAGCAAAAGGATAAAATACAGAATGCTTGTGTGTTCAGTACCTAAAAGGAAAAGGAGTTTATTATACACTTGTCCCATGGCAAACCACATGTATATTTAAATAAGGACACGTCTGCTTATGTTTACCTATTCATACACTCATAAGTAAGTTTATATACATTGTATTTTTGTTTTTTCACTGATACTATATTTTAAGTTACAAGTTAAATATGACATGACTATTTCTGAATTTAAACACATTTATATAAAGAACTTTAGAAAATTCATTAGTTTGTATCTTCTATTGACAGCCACAATCATTGTGTCATCTAGAGTCTCCTTGTTCAGTCAGTACTGCTCATGAATAAAGTGTAACCAGCTTAAATTTCTCATTTGTGAGAGTCGGAGATTAGCTTTTTAAAGCAGCAGACTGGGCACACTAATTCTCACTAAATTTTCACGTGAGTGTAGTTATCAAGTCTTATTCCAACAAAATATTTCATTTTAGGACTATAAAAAGGATTCTAATTAAACATTTTATAGGGGACACCTGGGTGGCTCAGCGGTTGAGTGCCAGCCTTCGGCCCAGAGTGTGATCCTGGAGACCCAGGATAGAGTCCCACATTGGGCTCCCTGCATGCTTCTCCCTCTGCCTGTGTCTCTGCCTCTCTCTCTCTCTCTCTCTCTGTCTCTCTCTGTCTCTCTCTGTGTGTCTCTCATGAATAAATAAATAAAATCTCTTTTAAAAATTATATAAACAACAATAGGTTGAGTCTTTAGCCATCTCTCTCTCTCTCTCTCTCTCTCTCTCTCTCTCTCTCTCTCTCACACACACACACACACACACACACACACACACACACACACACACTTTGACAGGGTCTTTATCAAATCCTGACACACTTTAAGCCCAAATAACTACCAGAGATGTAAAGGTAGACGCTGTCTGAAGCGTCTGTAATCTGAAAGATTACAGAAATTGATGTTTCTGTCACTGGAGGAAAAGAAAATTCTTTTGTCTTTAAATTATACATCGTTTCTACCATGCTTACAACCTATATTGTTAGCTGGTAAAACACAACAGCTTTATTAGCAATGTTACTAAAAATGAAATTGTTTATTGCCAGTTACAGGTTATCCAGTTCAGCCAACTTCTGAGCTCTAGAGCCATAATATTTTTTTTATTTAGAATTTGAATTTCAAGTAAGTTTTGTGCTTCTAAAAATTACTCTTGGACCCTATTATTGATAACTGGATCAAACATACAGATCAAACAAGGAAATTACTGAGTACGTTTAGTGTTTCTAAAGCCTCAGGTATTATTAGCATTATAATTAGGAACTGATACTATGATAGAAAACATTAACCTCTTTTTTCTGGATCTTTTTCATGCCAGAAATTGAACAAGTTCTGCTAATTCTTTTCTTGGTTGTCACCAGAATGAAAATATTTAAAAGAGTGTTCACAAAAAGCCATTCTTGCTTGGTTCACATTGATTTTGAGTTTCTTCAATATATATTGATCATAAAAAATATATATATATATATATTGATCATGTATTGATTAATCTTTAATTTTTTTCATATTTTGGTCAGATAAATTCAATGTATATAATGGGATACCCTTTTGGTTGAACTATACTATGATATCTACATGATTATATAGTAAAGAAAAATAGGCATAGTAAGTATTTGCATTTGGTACACTCATGCAGATGGTACACATTTCCACCACACACACACACACACACACACATTTAAATGAGGCAGATTATCTGATTTGCTTATTATCTAGTTCTACACTTTTCTTAATGCTTCAGACTCGTTATTCATAGCGTTGTATATTTATTTTACCTTGCTGCTCATTAGCACCTCTTACACAGTGGCCAGGGGAAATAGAAGGAGGTAAGACTCAATTTTCAGTTCTTGAAAGCTATAAGGAAAATGGGAGAAACACTAAGATTATGGGATAAACTAGAACTGTTGATCCTGAATCCCCAGATAGTTCAAATGACCTGTATTTTCATTTTAGGCATTAGGTCTAAATTTGTGTAATGTCTTTATTAGGAGGTTTAGTGTAAAACTTTACAGTACTGAATTTGCAAATTTAGTAACCTGTTACTAAAAATCAGATGGGAAATTTTTAAATGTGTTGTGACTTTATGACTTAGGCATCACTTGGTTATTTTTTCATCATCACTTTTTGTTTTCTCAGTTTTACATCATAGGAAACTAGATACCTTATGAGGCTTTTCAGGAGGAAGTCAATTTGGAGAGCATGGCGCACTCCAAGGAAGTATTAAAAGTATCTTTGTATTATGCGGGGAGCCTGGCTGGCTCAGTTGGTGGAGCATGTGACTCTTGGTCTCAGGATTGTGAATTCAAGCCCTATATTGGGTATGGAAATTCCTTAAACTCTTTAAAAAAAAAAAAAAGAAAAAGTATCTTTGCATTATGAAATTAGACCCTGACAGAAAGCCTCCTTGCCACACAAGTAGAAGATACTTTTACAAAAAAATGGTTAAGAGCTGAAATTTTATCTCACTCTTTTTGAACAGAGGACAGCATTTCAAATTAATGAACTTTTATTTATAAATATGACTCATGCATTCTTTCACAGTATGTTTCAACAGTCTGAGGAGATAGGAAGTCTGTGAGACTCCTTGTGTTCTTTACTTTTAATAAGCATAGGAAAGAAGAGATCAGTAATCCAAATCCGAGAGTATGTGTACTGTAAATGTTTAAGAACTCACATTTTTGTGATATATTATGAATATAGAAGACTGAATTTTGTAAATTAACAGTTTTAAGAACAGAATAAAGTTTGGAAATAGTGAGAATAGACTTATTTCATTAATAGTATAAATATAACAGTACACCTGAGTCAATAATACACGTCTTTCAAAAGTTAAATGATACCCTAAGCTACATGTTGATTACGTTGTCTATGGTTGAAATTTTTAAATCCAATACAAGACTTTCTAAAAGTGTTTGGCATGTTTTGCTGCCAAAAATGACTATAGTTTGAAATGCCAAGTAACCAATTTCTGATGACTTTGTTATAGGACTTGATATATATATGAGTCAGAATTATTCTGTGCTGATTCTGTACATTGTAACTTTGAACACTTGTGAAAAACTGTATTTGTTGATATATTTTGGGTAGTGTAAATTTGTTTGCATATTTGAATTTTAAACTTAAGGAAGGCTGAAAAGTAGTCATTTTTGTAAAGCTCGTATGCTATTTTCAATGTTATTTTTGCTTTTAGTATTTGTATTCTAGTAATGTTATTAGTGAAAGATTTATAGACAAAGCATAGAACCATTAACTGTTCATAAGCCTAAATTATAGGCATATTTTAAATTTCATGTTGCACTTGTTTTGTTTTGTATTGGATTTTTTACATCCCTTTTACAAGAAAAAACACATTTGAATTTTTTAGCATAAAACTCTACACTGCAAAATATAACTATATTCATATGGTTAGCAAAATATGCTTTGCCACCAAAGCTAAATGAAACTGTAAAATACCTCTAGATATTTGTGCCAATGAATTTTTCTTAACATAATGGGATTAAAGCAAAATAATATTTTCAGTATTTTTCATCTAGGACTTATTAAATATATAAATCACTAAAACTTATATTCCATACCCTGAATTTTTCTTTGAATATATATAATATGCCATAATATATTTTGTCTGATTTCTGGAATAATGTTCTCTGATTTTGGAAGGTTTAAGAGTTAATTTATCCAATAAGGATCTTTTTTATTGATTGAAGTAATCTTGCTTCATTCATCACAGATTCATTCTGTTTTGTAAAACTAAATTTTTTGCACAGATTATTTTTAGTACAGGTGTCTCTCATTTATGTAATAGAGATTTTACTGTGGAATTTATTTTCTATGTATTTCTCTTCAGATCACATGTCACAAAGGGGAAAATTATCTAACATATCCTACATAGTACAGTGAAATAAACATATTTAAATGCATATTTTAGCAGAAAATATAAACAGTGGTGTTAATGCTGCAGTGTTAACATTGATGCATGGTGGTGTACACATGAGAGAAAAACAGAAAAATGATGGACTCACAAACATATTTATTCTGATTTAAATTCTTTAACTTCTCCCCCATAGAAATTCTCAAAGGAGTTTCAGTCCCTCGCATTATGCATTTTTTCCCATCGTTTTAATGTCACTTATTGTTTCTCTGTCCAGCAATGTTGATGCGGTTTGCAAAAGTAGCCTTGGAAGTGAAGAGGCAAGAGAAAACCAAATTTGACCTTGATTAGTGACAGTTTATCCAGGTAACTGGTAGTGACTGGATATTAATAAAAAGATGATTACAAAACTTAAAATTCAGTTAACATTGTTTTTTTGGAATGAGGTTTTCCTGGTGTTAAATAATTTTATCCCAAGTAAGAGATACCTGTATTTTAATACAACCATGCTATCTACATAATCAAATACACCTTTGTTGGAATGTTAGTAGAAATAATCTCCCCCTCCAGATAAGAATCTCCCAATTTTTAGTGTATGTGATCCAGGAAATTGTATTGTGTGCTTACATTTTTGAAAATATAAAAATGACTGACTTTAGATATATTATTTTGAAGTGATTGTATTAGTTTCTTAAACTTACAACTAACTAAATGTAGCAACATACCCATGAAAAACCAGACCAAAATTGAACGCATATTATCACTGTGACCTTGAGCTTAGAGTCGTATAGGATAAAACAGACTGTGCCTTAAAATGAAGGAATGCCCTACAATTTTATAACTGTATATTTTATTATGGGTGGTCTTCTTAGATTGGCCCCCCCCTTTTTTTTCCTTAAAGTTGGTGAAGTAAAAATTTTAAAGTTGACCAGTATTTCTTTGCTCTAGAGGCTTCCCTTAATTTCCAGAGTTCTCATTTTGAATTAAAATTTACTTACACTTCATAGATGTAGAAAAGTAATTTTGGCTAAAGTTTATGAAAATAAATTTATTTTAGGAAAAGGTGGTGGCACTTCTGTTTTGCACTTGTCTACATGTGGAAAAATCTTCAAATATAATTTTTTTGTCTTTTTAATAAGTAAACGATCAAAGACATGAATTCTTCCTTAAGACCTATACTTACTTTTCCTGAGATTATTGAGGCTCATATTTGAATATCACACTTAGTTTACCCAATAACGAATTTTCGGTTCTTAAATGCAGACTCATGCAGTATATTTTTAAACATAATTTCCCCCTTTTCTCTTTTTCCTTGCTAATTATTTTTAAGGTATCAACTGGTTCCAACTGTTAGTTTTTTTAATGTAAAGAGTTGTATTTTTACTGTGCTTATTTTAAAATAATATAATTTCTATTAGGACAAATTATTCCATTCATAGGACATAATGGCCTCTGCTAAAAAATGCCCACATCTCTGTGTACTTAGGATTTGTTGTATATTTTTCAGTGTCAATTTTGAACATAAACTCAACACATTTCTTCTTCCCATTTCACCTCTACTGCCTCTCCTCAAAGACAAAAATCTCAGTTTCTCTACAAATCAGTAGAAAGAAAACATGTCTTTCCTTAAAACATGTTAAGTTTAAGATGGAAATAGTTTGGGCAAGGAAATGTAATAAAATACATGGCTGTCAACCTGCATCCATCTTTATGTTATAGTTAAAAGTTTATAAAGGACAAACTACATGTTACGCTAATACCCAGTAATCCTTTATTTGCAAATTGATAACTTTGTTCTCATCCAGAAAACACAGTGCATAGTAACAATAAGTGCAAAGAAGGTTGTCCTGTAGTATATACAGAAAAATGATTTTCACCTTGCAGATTTTTCCATTTAAATATGCATGATCTTCTCCAGTACTTTGTATAAGGTGTATGAAACACACGTGTGATTTTGTGTGTATTTTTTATATAAGTACGACAGTACGTTTAACTGGTTGTAATTCACAAAAAGTGCTATTTATTATACTCTGTAAAGTGTCGTATGTGTTTTTATCTGTGTTTCAGCGTTATGGTGTGGGGTTTCATAGGTGAATATTTGCCTTCAGTCTTCGCTCAGGTATTAATGTGTAGCAATTTTTGGTGCTTTCTTTTTAATCTGTTGTAATCTGGTGTTCTGAATGTTCAACAATAAATTTTGTGAACAAGAGCATGTGGTGCAGAGATTGCTTGCTGCTTACACAGTACCATCTCAGGAAAAAAATCCTTCAAAATTACTTACAGCACATCTGGATTTCAGAAATTCGAATGCCTGCTAGGCATGGCACATAATACAATGACACATCACATGTAAATATTAGAAGCAAGATAGATAACAATATGATATGCTGTAGCATTTGTATGTAGCATTTGTATCTCATGGCTCATGTTCTACCTTAAAGGAATGTAGTTATTTCTCCCAAATACAGGTCTCCTCCAAAGATCATACTTTCCACTTTTCTTATGCTAACTTTATATATGTTCTAGGTGCCCAGTTTCTCAAATTACATGAAAATGAAAATAATTTAAACAGTTTGTAAACAGATTCCCGGGTTACACTAGAACTACTAAATTTGATCTGTAGGGAAGAAACCTGGGATTCTCTTTTGACAAGTGCCCCAAATAGTAATTCTCAAACTGCTTTGGTCAATAAAATTAATTTGCTAGAGCTCCTAGAAGCATCCAGAAAGACTATCCTTAGGATTATGTGATGCCAAAAGAGACACTGCATAATTTGGGAATTTAGTATAGATCTAAACTTCATTAACAGTGGGTGAAAAGAGTAAAAATGGGGCAGTACATCTTTTGAGGGACAGTGTCTTCTTACACTGATGAGAAATGTTTTCTAAAAAAAAAAAAATCATTTTCTAAAAGATTTTAAGCAGCATCTCTAAATATATCAACATTTAAAAATCACCTGCATGTATTAACATCATATACATTATTACTGAATATACCCCCAGAAGTAAGTTTTTTCAAATGAGAAATATACTGCTAGAAGTTTTCATAGTTTCCTTGGATAGTTGGACAATTATCCTAAAAACACCACAATATGGAGTATACAAAATGAAAACCTCGTAGAGCATTCCCACCAGATTTTCTCCCTTTTTCAGATTCCCACTTCGGGGATCCCTGGGTGGCGCAGCGGTTTGGCGCCTGCCTTTGGCCCAGGGCGCGATCCAGGAGACCCGGGATCAAATCCCACGTCGGGCTCCCGGTGCATGCAGCCTGCTTCTCCCTCTGCCTGTGTCTCTGCCTCTCTCTCTCTCTCTCTCTCTCTCTCTCTCTCTGACTATCATAAATAAATTTTAAAAATTTAAAAAAAAAACATTCCCACTTCGTCTTTACTCCCTTTCTATTTTATATATATAATTGCTGCATAGCAGATTAAATATTTAACAGCTTTAAACAACTATTTATTTGTTCACAGTTTTATATGCCAGAAGTCTCAGCACAGACCAACTGGGTTTTCTGCTCAGAATCACACTTCTAAAATCAAGGTATCAGCCGGGACTACTGTCCTACCCTAGACATTCCGGTTCTTAGGGGCTAAGATTCCTCTTTTTTCTAGGTGTTGGCAGGGGTCTGGGGTCTGTTTTCTGAGCTCCCCGGTCTCCTTGTTACGTGCCCTTCCACAAAATGGCAGTTCGCCCCCTCAAGATCAACAGAATTACCATCACATTTTGAAATGTAAACTTCCCCTGTGACCTTTAGACTCGTTTTTGTTTTTTTTTAAACCCAGATTTAGAAGGCTCCTGTGAGTAGCTCAGATCCACTGAGGTAATTTCCTTTTTGATTTGTGTGTGTGTGTGTGTGTGAGTTGTTTTGTTTTTGTTTTGGTGCAAAAAAGGCTTTATTAAAGCACAGGACAGGACCCATGGGCAGAAAGAGCTGCCTCCCTTTTGATTAGCTAGAGGCCAACCTTAATTACATCTGCAGAATCCCATTTGCCACTAGATAACAATCATGTTCCAGTCCTACTCACAAATTCCATCCACACTCAAGGGGCACAGGTGATACGAGATAGGGGCACTAGTGGCTGAGAATCTTGGGGCCATTTTAGAAGTCTGCCTAGCGTGAACAGCAAGGAGCTAGTCTTTCATAATTGCTATGCTTAAGTAATAGTTTATTTCATGGTTCTAAGAGGGATATGATAAATATAAAATGTTTTAATGAAAGAAAAGCCCTCGATTCTTTCAACTTCTTGGTAAGATTTATTTTAGAGCACGCATGACTGTGCTATTTACTTTAGAGGGAAAAGAAGAGAGAATCTCAAGCAGATTCTCTCTGTTGAGCACACAGCTCCCTGCTGGGCTCCATCCATGAGATAACTTTTTAAAAAAAAGAAGCCCGTTGTTGCAATGAGACTATAATGCAGTAAGTTCTTTAGGTCCCAGAATACAACTAACTGGAATTCTTAATCAGAGATACAGCTGTGGTGGCTCAGTTGGTTAAGTGTCCAACTCTTGATTGCCTCAGATCTTGATCTCAGGGTTGTGAGTTCAAGCCCTGCATTGGGCTCCATGGACATGGAGCCTACTTCTAAAAATTATATATATAATTATATATATTTAGTTGTTTATATATATTTATATTTTATAACTTTAAAAGGAAAAATAGGAAAATTACAGAAAATAAGCAATTTCTTTTACTAAAAACATTCCAGATAGACTGCCTTGTCACTTACAATGTATCCTTTTAGCAGATAATCCTAGAGTACCTGTTGTACCAGAATCCATGCCAGATACATTCACATTCAGCTTCTCATTTCACTCCCCATTAAAAACCCTTAGAGGGAAGATTATTATCCCCACATTACAAGAAAGGACATAGTATCAGAGAAATTGAACAATTTGCCCATGGTCGAATTCAAAGCAGATTGTCTAAGAAAGAGTTCTTTATACTGAAGACATGCAATATGTAATATTTGTTCACGCCCTACTCTGTCAAAATCTTTCCTGACCATAGTAGTTATTCACTTGCCTTGAAAAAAAATTTCCCAATAATCTCCCAATCTTTTTTATTAACTCTTTCTATACTTTTCCTTAGAGATTTCATCTAACTCTCTGACTCTAATGTATTTTTGGTGGATGATTCACCAAGTCAGACTTTCCTCCTCAGCTCTACATCTAATTATCTCTGAGTCAATGGCAGTATATTTAGCCTCCTTGGGACCACATCTTCATCCCTAAGTTATGGCCAGTAATATCTTACAGACCTGGCATGAGGACAAAATGAGATAATGGGCCAAATGCACATGATACCTAGTAGGTGCTTGAGAACTGTTAGGTGCTTTCTTCTAGCTCTCCAATCTCTAGTTTTCTCTAAACTAGACAAATCAATTTTTGAAATTTCAGCTTCTAATTTCTTTCCCTCCCTAATTAGCAACTCTTTTTAGTTTCCAAACTTCTATTAAAGCCTCCCCATTACACAAATTGAAAACCCACTTATTTTGATCATTTCCTTCTTGCTTACAACATGCAGTAATTTCTCCCTTCCTTACTACATGCAGTCAGTTGCTAAGCTCTAAACAGTCCAGCACTTTAGGGTCACCCTTACATTGGTGCACTCCTTTCTGGCTCTCACCCTAGTTTAGGCCGTCATTACTAGCATTCCACATTTCACAGCAGCTTTGTAAATGATCTCTTTCCCCTTCTCTTATCCATTTTGCTTCTATCCTGCACATTATTTTACCATTAATCTTAATTAAACAGCAAATTAATATTAGTATTAGCACTCTCTTTTCCAAAACTTTTTTAGTCTTCCCTCATGTTCTAGATACAGTCCAAACAAACTCCTTTTGACAACTTGACCATTCGACATGTCCAGTCGTTCTTCTACCATTTTCCAAAGACACCCATCTCCTCCCCACACAAACTATTTGAGTTAGGATTAATTTGCAAGAAACAAAAACCTGACACTTTGCTAAAATAATGAATTTTTCAAGTAGAAAGTTTAGGGTAACTCTCCCTGAAGTCATCAAAAACTAAAATACCTTTTAACCCATTAATTCTCCATCCTTAATGTGTGGCTTTCTTAACAAAGTGGCGGCTGCATAATACTTGCATTTGAGGAAGAAGGAGGGGGAAGGAACAAAAGGATCTCTGCTTTTATTTGGAAAAGATGTTCCCTCTTGGGACGCCTGGGTGGCTCCGTGGATGAGCATCTGCCTTTGGCTTAGGTTGTGATCCCAGCGTCCTGGAATCAAGTCCCACATGAGGCTCCCCAAAGGGAGCCTGCTTCTCCCTCTGCCTGTGTCTCTGCCTCTCTCTCTGGGTCTCTCATGAATAAATGATTCTCCCTGTCTTGTCCCTTTCCCACCTCAGGGACTTCTGTCCATAGCTCACTGGCCAGAATGATACCACGTGAACACTAAGAAATACACGGGAAGCCATGGAAACCAGTTTTAAGCTGTCTATGTTGCCTTCCCAGACAATGGCCAAGAAGAAAGATGGATTAATCTATGCGGCTACCATAACCGAATACCACGGGCTAGGTGGTTTATTTATTTATTTTTTTAACGAAGTATTTTTTTTATTTTTTATTTATTTATGATAGTCACAGAGAGAGAGAGAGAGGCAGAGACATAGGCAGAGGGAGAAGCAGGCTCCATGCACCGGGAGCCTGACGTGGGATTCGATCCCGGGTCTCCAGGATTGCGCCCCGGGCCAAAGGCAGGCACTAAACCGCTGCGCCACCCAGGGATCCCCAGGCTAGGTGGTTTAAACAACAGAAATGTATTTATCACAGTTATGGAGGCTGGACAGTCCAAAATCAATGTGCTGGCCTACTGGGGGTTAAGGCTTCAACATATGAATTTGAGGGGAACACAATTCAATCTATAGCAAAAGGGATAAAAAGAAGCAACAAGCAGATTCAGCCACACAAACCCACTGGGCTACCTCATCCTAAGTCTCTCCTCCCTTTTGCTACTTTCCTCCCTTTACTTAAGAATCTCCTTCCCACAACCTGGATGTCAAAATTCTCCTCAGGAAAATCTATCAACTGCCACAGTCAGGACTAATCTACGTGTCCCTCCTTGCAGCCCTTACTGCCATAGTTCTATACTCTATGAAGGTCATCACGTTACATCTTGTGTGCTTTTCATGTGCAGTTCTTACTAGGGACACTGACTTAACGTCTACATGTCAGGTGCCACACTAGACCCTT